ATCTTGATTACCATACACTGAAGTATGTGAAGTTGATTTTCATCACATCTATGAACTTTAACTTAGTCAAAGTGACACTTAAGAACACAAAAAACCCAAACTCAACACTGTAAAGCCATTAAACCAGGAAAACAGAGGACAGCAGAGAGTACACACAAGTGTCATTAAAACATGAGGTTGTATTTCAGCTTAGCAGTGGGCCTTGTAAGTCAGGAGTGCTTGTCTGAGTTGAAATTTATCTTCTTGCTGTTCCAAACCTTGACACATAGATACCACGTGGTCTGAGAGTTCTTCGGCTGTTTGTTTGGACCAATATTTTGAAGGTCTATGAATTTGGGAGTAGAGCTGGGATAGTTTTTCTGGATCAAGTGCACAGTGACAGAAGCCACAGCTTTGCATGTCCATAACTACTTACATTTGGCAAGTTGATTCAGTGGACTCCCACCCATTCCTCCCAGAAGGCCAAGAATCACTGACTCCAAATAATTCCTGTCACCCTTCTTCCCTTTATGACTTTCCAGCAAACTGAAGTCCACTGTCCACATACTATCTTCCATGTACTTCCCCAGGTACAAGTTATCCCTGTGAATACCTGTGTGACTCCTCATGTGGATTTTCAGTCGGCAGGCTTTGTCGTACTGCTTGTTACAGCCAGGGAACGAGCAGGTGAACTGCTCTTGCTCTCTGAAGTGGGCTCGGTTATGGGAGAATAACGCACTAACTGTGATAAATGTTCTCTCACAGCCTGGGGAGAAAAGGGAAACAGCAACAAAAATCAGGAAAACTGCACTCTTTTCTCCCTCCCAGCTTTTAGAGAGGCACCTTCATGATCATTTTTGAAGGATGTTCCATCCGGGAACATGAAAAACAAAACAAAACAGTGCAATCCTAAACTACGTTACTCCCAGGAAATACAACTGTTTACCCAAGGTGGGCAATGAAAACTCGCACAGCCCGGGTTAAGGTGCACCACTGGAGAGTGGTGCTGTGCCTTGCCGTGCTTCACAAAGTCACGGGAGCAAAGGCCGAGCGCCCACCAGCTGCCAAATTAGATGGAACTCTTTGATAACTGAGGTGGAATCTCAGGGGAGACCCCTCGGGGAAAGAGAGGCAGCGGGGAGGAGAAGAGAGCAGGGATCCCGGTTTTTCTGCACGGGGGAGGGAAGGCAGCCCATCCCCAGGGGCGGCTTACCGGGGAAGTCGCAGCGGTAGGGCCGCTCGGGCTCCAGGTGGCTGCGGCGGCGGTGGGCGGCGAGGCGGGCGGCGCTGGGGAAGCGCTGCCCGCACGCCTCGCACTTCTGCGCCGCCTCCTGCTCGTGGGCGCGGCTGTGCGCCCGCAGGTTGTACACGGTGGTGAAGCGCTTGGCGCAGCCCGGCGCGGCGCAGGCGAACGGCCGCAGCTTGTCGTGCGAGTGCAGGTGCCGCCGCAGCTTGTAGGCCGTGGCGAAGGACCAGGCGCAGCCCGGCACGGGGCAGCCGAAGGGCCGCGCCGCCGCGCCCCGCCCGTCCTCGCCGCCGCCGCCGCCGCCGTGCGCCGACAGCCGGTGCAGCCGCAGCTGCTGCTTGCGGGGAAAGGCCTCCCCGCAGCGCGGCTCCGGGCACGGGAAGGCGGGCGGCGAGCGCGGCCGAGGCCCGCCCGGCGGCTCGGCGGGGCTGGGGGCGGCGCCGGGCGGCGCGGCCCCCGCGGGCTGCTCGGCGCCGGGCCCCAGAGTCAGCACGCCGTTCTCGATGCGCACCAGCAGGCTCTGGTTGTTGATGGTGATGGTCCCCGAGAAGGAGCCGTCCTCCGCCGCGCCGCCATCGCCGCCCGAGGGGGGCAGCGGTGCTGGCGGCGGGGGAGGAGGAGGAGGAGGCGGCGGCGGCGGCGGCGCCGAGACGGGGGCCTCCTCCGGCGGCTCAACGGGCGGCGGGCCGGGCTGGGCTCGCCCCGCTTCGCCGCCGCCCGCGCCGCGCACCACGTTGAAGACGAGCAGCAGCCCGTCGCTGTCGGGCGCGGGCCCCGCCGGCGGCGCGCTGGGCGCGGGGCTGGCGCTGGGCTCCGGCTTCTCCTCCACCAGCAGCACCGGGAAGCTCACGTAGAGGCCCGGCGCGACGGTGCTGCCGGCGGGGGAGGGCGGGGCGGCGGCGGGCGGCGGGTCCCAGCCGGGCGGCGGCGGCGCGGCGGGGCCGCCATGTTGCACAGCGGGCCGGGCCCGGGCCGCCTCCGCGGCCGGCAGCCCCTGCGTTTCCATCTTGGGGGTCCCTGTAGCAGCGCCTGAAACCGGAGCCGCGGGGCGGGGCCGGCGCGGCCGCCGCGGAAACGCGGAGAGCGGAGCCACGGACGGGGTGGAGCGGGAGGCGCCGCGGAAACCCGGAGAGCGGAGCAGCGGGCGGCGCGGAGCGGGGCTGCCCCGAGCGGGGCAAAGTCGCCCGCCCCCGTCGGGTGTCGCGCACCGCGATAGCCGCAGCGGGCACCGCTGGAATCATCTCGGGTCCTGGGGGTTATTCTGCTGTTTATTCGTGCTAATAGCCAGGAAGAGTCACAGAATTGTTAGGTTGGAAGGGACAGCTGGAGAGTATCCAGTCCAACCCCACTGCCAAGGCAGGGTCACCTGGAGCAGGTGACACAGGAACATGTCCTGATGGGTTTTGAATGTCTTCAGAGAAGACTCCATTACTTCTTCAGGCAGCCTGTTCCAGTGCTCAGCCACCCTCAGTGTAAAGAAGTTCTTTCTCATGTTGAAGTGAAACTACTTTCGTGTAGTTTACAGCCACTGCTCCTCATCCTCTTGCTGGGCACCACTGAAAAGAGTCCAGCACCATCCTCTTGGCACCCACCTTTGAGATATTTATATGCATTAATAAGATCCTCTATCAGTCTTCTCTCCTCTAGACCAAACAAGGCCAGCTCACACCATCTCCCCTCGTAACAGAGATGCTCCAGCCCCCTCATCATCTTTGTGGCCTCCTTGTCGTTCCTGTGGTGAGGAGCCCAGCCCAGAACTGGACACAGACTTGGAATATGGTCTCACTAGGGCTGAGTAGAGGAGGAGGATCACCTCCCTCAACTGCTGTGCAGGAGCAATACCGAGGTTGCAGCCACATTCAGAGTCCTGTGATAGGTAAATAGTTTGGCAAAACACTAATTTTCAGCAAAACACTAAAATTCAGCTAATGCAGAAACCTTTTTTTTCATTCTCCTTCTTGGGCAAAGCTTTCTGTTGGAGAATGTTCAGCTGCCTTCTGGCTCTCCATCACTTAAGGAAAAGGCAAAATTATCCTGTATTTGCCATGGAAATTCACTTAGTTCTCTCCTGCCGTGGAACTGACAAGCAGTCCCAGCAGATGGTGCTATGATCCTTTCGATGCTCAGATTATTCCTCCTTTCTGGGGAGCAATTTAGCATGGGAAATGGCTGGCCAGGCACACAGTGCCAGGAAACTGAAGCACCCAGAGCTCTACTCTTCAGAGCCACCTGTACAGAGTGGGTCATCCCTGGTTTTGGCTGCCCTCAGCACCCCCCATCTCCCTGTGGAGATCTTTGCACTACTTTCCTTTGTGTTCCTAGGAAAAAGTAGGTCTTCCCCCAAGTTTATTGCTTAACACAAAGGTGAATCCCTGTTTGAAGGATGCCAAACCTGAAAGAGATAACAAAATGTCACAAATCTCTTATGTTTGCCAGAGCCTGGAGAAATTCAACAAGACCCTATTTAGGAGCACCAACAGCTCTGTCATGTCATAAACTTTATACATTCAAAAAAACACTGTTTCTACAGCCATGAGTGCTCTCTCTGCAACCAGGCACAAGGTTTTTGGGATAAGTGTCTGCATTTTAGGATAGCATTAAGGTACTATGATTTAGCAGCTCTAAGGGAGCAGCTCTACATTACTTAGTACAGAAAAGCCAGTGTATTTTCTGGTTGTTCCTCTTGACAAAGCACTGCCTAGTGCTTTTGGACTATAAAGATTGGAATGGTTTTGTAAAATAACAATATACTGGCTTTGGACCCAGTGTGATTATTAATAACAGGTAATGCATAACATATGTCAAAGCAAAGGCTGTCAAATCTGGCTGACAACTACTCACATCTCAATCTTATAACTAGGCAATATGGGCAGGTTTTTCCATAATATGAAGCAATTCCTATCAGCTGCAGATTGCACTTCACAGAAGGTTTGGTTTCAAGCAGATGCCAGACTCTCACTATTCATCTGGAGACACATACAGTACGTGAACAGAGTAAAGAATTCATCTGTGATTCAAAATAAATAAATAATACTTAGCACCAGAGGCAATACAGAGCTGCAGAGTGAGCTCACCTGTGTGTCCCATGGGATATAGTAATTGTATAGTTTCTCAAGACCCCCAGTCCTGAGGACTGCAGCTCATCACATCCCAACTGCAGCAGCCCATGCAGGTTTACGTGTGTAGCAGCCCTTTCTGTTCCAAGAGGTAATGGATGCAGTGCCAAGGAGATTGAGTGACAGGCCAGATCAAGTCCAGTACCACATGTGCACTGGGGGAAGGAACTGGTGACACTGTGTTCATGTTGGAGTGAGGCCCATGTGCAAGAGCCATGCTTACCATGAGACAGGATAGCTAAGAATTATTTTTGTACACACAAATGTGTAGATGTGTATGTAAAACATGCCTCTGTAAATATATCCAAGTATGTATCTGTCACTATGTGTGTGTACAGGGCCTTCAAAGCCAGCCTCGACTCTTGTTCAGCATCACAGCTGATTAGAACAAGATACTTCAGTGAGTTACTGTTAACACAAATGTAATAGCAGGCTCAGGTGCAAAACATGCAATTCTTCAGTTGCACCTGGGCACATGGGGTTCTGTGCCTTCCTGACCCTTCTCAGGAAGAAGGAAGACTGAAAATACCTTTCTATTGCTATGTTACATTATAATCAACTTCTGGCTAGAGGAAGCCCATACTGTCTTGTCTTTGGTGCTTGTTTCACATCAGTCATGTTTGTTTAGTTTTTTTCCAGAAGGAAAATATACTTGACAATTTTGTTACAGTGCTTTATTAATTGTACTACTCACAAATGGATGAGTAGCTCACATTTTCATTCAAGAGCAGCAACCAGCACATAGGATCTAGGTTTTCTGGGGGTTTCCATTCATTTGGAACACTCTCAAGTGCAGCAGCCTTCTACAGAAGAACAAACTCGTGACTGTGAGACAGCAAAGGGCACACAACATCAGATGCAGCATTGTCTCAGACCAATGGGGAATTTATGAGTTGTTCCATATTTTCCTGGCCTTGCTGTAAAATGTTTGGACCCTGCCCTCAGGGTTTTCCACCCACTTTCTTGTCACTGCATTCTGTCCCTGGTTGTGAATATCTTGGGTGAAACTTTCAGGGAAAAAATCATGCAGGTTTAGCTGCGCTTGACCAGTTAGAGTTTCTGTGTCACTTTCTGCTGCAATCATGTCATATCAATACATCCTCCATTAGCCAAAGAATAAGTTTGTTTACACGTCTTTGTGTTTGGCCACTGGATTTCACATCTCTCTGCTGGTGGCAGTAGAATCAGAGTTCAAATTTCCAGTCCATGTTTGATTTACCAGACCTAAAAATCTCAGGGACAAAATTCCACATTCTTCTCCCTATAATGAGTAGTTTCTTGTTGCAAACACTGTTCCAACTATATTAAGTGAAAAGACTGTTCCTGGCATCAGCAGACCTGTCACAGATACAGATTTGCCCCCTTAAAAAGTGAAAGAGGAAAAAAAGAACTCACATGGAACAGACATATGCAAGGCTTTTATCATTTGGCCAGAGAGCAGAATAGCATATCAAGGAAGCAACTTCAAATATATCTGCAAGAACAACATCGTGCTTGGAAATGCCACTAATGTTTCACGGCTTGCTCCAAGATGTTCTCATCCACCACCTTGTGAGGGAGGGTCACCCTCAACGTGTCATTCTCTTTCATTGCTTGGCAGATGGTTTCATAAGCAAAGGCATTACCCGACCAGCAGCGCCTGGCGACCTGTCAGAGCAGAAAATCAACGGGTGTAAAAATCCTACATTTCTCTTGCCACATCCATCTCGCACAATATTTGCGCAAACACTGGCGCTGAATTTCGTGATAATAAATCTTTCAGCCTTCTGCCAGTTTCTAGTTTCCTTACTGATTTTGCAAGCAATTTTTGTAATACCTACTTCATTTTTATGAAGAGTATTTGGGCAGAGGTGGTACTTTTCCATGCATAACATTGGACAGATAACATTGGTAGAGCCAGGTACCTTATAAACTTAAAAAATTCTCTCACTAAAAATAATTGTGCACTCCACCCCAGCTCTGCAAAGCTAGCACTTGCTTTAGATAACAATATAATTTAAGCAATCAATACTTTTGTAGTGGGATAAATATTTAAAAAGGAAAATGTCACTGAATGTATTTTCAACTATGAAATCAAGGAACCAAATTCTCTGCCCTCATGTAAGGATGAAACTCTATAAACAGAACTCATAAAGCCCTCTTCTATCAGCAAAATCCTGATCTGCATACAAGCAAAATTCCGCAGATGAAAAAAAGATCAAGATTTGGCACCAAGGAAATAAGTCCTTTCCTCTATTCAGTGCCTTAGAAATCTCTACTATGGATTACAAATCAATTTCTGAAATAGCCAGAATGCTCAAAAGCATTCAAGAAAGAAAAGACTTGAGTTCCAATTTAGCAAAATATTTAAGCATATGATTAATAAAAGGCTAATAAGTTCCCAGGATCACAGCAACAGCAACTAGAAGTGACCTTTTAAGTCAACAGCTCCATTTTCCTGTCACTCATCTATGATTATTCCTGGCAACATATTTTTAAGGGTACACTCCACTTTTTCAATCTTGTATCTAACATGGGTAGCACTCTCAGATTGTTCTTTTTCAACATGTGCATGGAAGAGCGGGGTTTTTGCTTGTAGTAAATCAGAGCAGCAAAAGGTGGATTGGGTTTTTAATAGACTGTCTCTGGTACACAGTTCTTGTTAAGGGTTTGTCTCCATTAACCTACAAACTAATATAATTATCATCCTCCTTCTTCCTTAATGGTTTATTAGTGTGTTATTTCAGATCTGGGTCAGGGAATATGTGCAAATTGTTCCTACTCTTCTACCCCAAGTCATGCCAGGTCTGATGGGGATTAAAATATGTTTAGCACTGGAATAGAAGTGCTAAATAAACATAGTCATGAGACAGAAAAATATTAAAGTCAACATATATAATCAGCTTTGCTTACCCCATTGGAAACATCCCAGCTGAGCATCATCTTAGCTCGTTCTTCAGCCTCCTTGGACCCATCCAACACCAGGCCAAATCCCCCATTGATCACTTCACCCCTAAAAAAATACAAATGCAAGAGCGTGAAATGAAAGTGACTCAATCAAACCAATCTCACAAAATTCACAGGAGTTAATTTATTCAGTTGCAGTCCAAGGAGAAGGATGAGAACATAGAAATGCTGCTGAATAAGAGACTACCAGTGACCATTTATATTTACAAAAAAAAAAAAAAAGTTCTACACACTGTACTGGCTCTAAAAATAAGCAAAGAAAGGTTAACACCTCTGATCTGCCAGGGTATTTTTAAAGGTTTAGATCTTGATGTTTGCTACACTGCATCCTGCCATGTAGACAGGATCATGAGGAGGACAGTGTACTTTATTGAAGCAGACAGATGGATCTATTTATATTCTCTTGGGACAAATGGGAGAGCATAAGTATTTTATTAAAAAAGCGTTAACCACCACTTAATGCACATCTGCCTCAATCATTTCCAAAACAGTAATTCATTTTGTATGAAATACATAGATATTTAAAGACATCAGTGCCAACTTTTCAGGAAGCAGACTTACTGGCAGAAGAAGAACAGAAATATGTTAAAACTAACAGATTATTCTTGGGAGAAATAACAGTCTGGTTTTAAAGGACAGGGAAAACACGTAGAGCAAAACATCTTGTCTGACTTCAGCATCTGGCCTGCTCAAGTTCCACTTCCATGGCATATGGTGAATAGTGGTGGATACAGCTGGTTGCTGTAAATCTGTGCGAGCTCTGGCATTATAGCTCAGCATCAGCAATACCTGAGGGACAGGGCATATCATACAACAATACGTGGTATGAGACACTAATGGAAATCCCTGGAGGCAGGATTTTGTCCTCTGAGTTTCATAGTTAATATAAGTTTACAAAATTTACATAGAACAACATCAGACACATCCATTAATCAGATAGGAGTTGTGTGTCTTCCAGTCCAGGAAGGAATTGTTTCTTACTGTATATTTTCCAGCAGTAACTTGATCTTCTGAGAAAATGGTGAAATGAGGCTAAACTAAAGCCTCACAGACCTGAGATCTACTTCCTGAAACTAAAACTCACATTTTCAATATAATGTTGTTACTCATGTGATGTTAATTCCCTTTCTCCACTTATATACACTACCCTATCACATAACTCAGGAACTTGGCGCTCCAGATCTCACCATCATAGTACTCTTCTGTAAATTCCTTCCACTTCTTCATTATTAGACATGTTATTACTGAAAAAAACATTTTCTGTTTAAAGGTACAGATTTCTTGAAAGTGACAGTTCTCACAGCAGAACATCAGTGAGTGAATCAGGGATTTTAACAGGAAATTTTGAATCGAAGTCATGTTTCCAATTGAGATGTTTTAATATTGTAAGATCTGACTCTTCAGAATAAAACTGTTCTTTTTGATTGACAATGTCAGTGCTTTTCAGCCTGGAATTTAAATCCCAGGATGAAAATTTTTACTGTGTGAAATTTTTCACTATTTTTTCTCTTAGTCTCATCTGGGGATGAATATAAACATTCTACTTTTTGAATAGCTCATTTTGTTACTGTCTTCTCCAAAAGAGTGGACCAGACTGGATGACAATGTTAAAAATGTAATTATACCAAGGCCAGTTACCTCACCATACTCTGCTGCTCCTGCATACACAGACCTAATTATCGTTCTTTACTGTCAAAGTACCAAGCCAGAGTACATTTAGGAATATCAGTGATGCCACTGCAATGTATTTGGGATCACAGAAAGAGCACCCCTCAAGACAGCCTATGGGAATTATCAGAAGATAAGAAAATCACACCTCTGGATCAGTGGTTTATGAAAATATTCCATATGGGAAGATGATGATGCTCTTTCAGTGGCAAAGATTCCCTCTGTCCACAGCATCCCCAAGAGCATCCTTTGAAGCTTAGGTATGAACAGTGAGCATTTGATCTCACTTGTACTCCATAAATTTAGAGCCTCTCCATCGATTCTCAAAGAGTTACTCTAGTGTAAATCAGAATCACTCATCAGAATCTGTTCTACTGTTTAAAAATCCCTCCTGCATTAAAGGCCAATGTTTGTTATGATGGATTTTCTATCAAAACTTCTCACTTTTAGAGGGGATCTCTGCCTTCATTAGCATTGGGTCACATTTTCAAGTAATTAAAGAAACATGTGGCATCGTGACCTAAGCTACCTCCTATAATTTCCAGATGTCTCCTCTCCTAAGGTGATCAAAGAAAACAAGGCCTCTCTCACAATCAAGATGTCACACTGTCAACAGAGCAGTTTGATTCTTAAATTGCTCCTGCCTTTTTGTTACTGCAGGTTATTCAGGCTCTGTGCTAATATACATTCTCCAGCAAAGAAACAAGCTGCCAAAAATCAATAACAATAATTTGCTGTAATTATAGTCAAGGTTAATCTTAAGTCTCTCCAACAGCACATGTGATGCAGATTCCAGCTAAATAAATATTAATCTTGCTTTTTCTGTTTGCCCCACAAGGCTGTAATGCAGAAAAACTAAAGCAGGTGAAAAGGCACTTCTGTAGTCTCTTAGGAAAGATGCAGCAGATCTCAGTAGTTCCAGGCAAGCCTCTGCAGGGAGGACTCTGCAGCTGAACACAGCACAATTGCCAGTTTTTAACTCCCTGGACAGAAACTTTCCAGCCACTTGATTTCTCTTGGATCGTGTGTGTCTTTGTTTATAAATATATAAGCTTCCACTTGCACTTTCACTTTTCAAAATCAGCTGATGACAAGAAGAATTTAACAAGCACATGGAGATTTCATTATGGCAAGGTCAGCTGGATTTTTAGAGCTCCACCTGTCATGCCCTGGCTTTCGGGGGCTCTCCAGACCACAGCAGCTAATGACACAACATTTTTACCACATCTGAGTCTCAGCATGGTGGCTTATTGAGGCTTGGGAAGAGACAGGCCTAATTTTCAGGCCCTGCTTTCTTCACTGAAGCACAGTAATTTAATCATAGAGGGCTGTGGCTGCTCCCAAGAACAAGGTGAGCAGATACTGTTCTGCAAAGACAAGCCCCCAGGCAGCCATAGGAAATGACAAAAACAATAAGCAAACCCTCTTTTTCCAGAGGTATTTTTATTTCAGTAAATAGCCACACGCTAATTTTCTGATTCATTACATAAATTATAGCACCTCTGCCCTGCCTTGGGGTAAAGCTTCTTTTGTGATGCAATTCCACTTAAGAAATAATAAAACAGTATAATTAAAATTGCAGTGTGGTCAGTGCCAGTTTTCCAGAAGTAAGGGCAGTCTCACCATTCAGCCAACCTCTCTTTGAATTGCCCAAAGGACTAGAAATGTGCAGGAAGGATTGGCCTTAGAGAGGCCAGAAAGAAATAGAATCATTTGTATCCTTCGAATTAAGCATCAGATGGGCAAAGAACATTCATGGCATAAGCAATTATTTTAGCAATACTAATATTTATAATTAGCATAAAAATATCCTGAATACTTTGGACAATGTGTTGTGATTTTCTTTCCTTGTATTTCATAAGCAGATGTTTTAAAAGGTTGAACTCAGTTAAGGCAATTCAGACAGGATTAGTCTGCTGCTATCTCTCAAGTCTGAGACTGAGATGACCAGAGTAGGGAGACATTCTGGCATATATTTTCCATTCAGAGTTATGGAAATTGTGAATTAAAGCCTGGCTATGGGTTCTTATCACCGAAATCAGCAAAGGCAAACTTTCATTCCATGTGCCCAAGCCCTTAGAGAGCTTTCTCATCCCGTTGTTCAATTTTGCTCTCGTGTACCTTCTACGCAGTAGTTACCTCATTGAAATCAAAGGAATTAAGAGTCCAGAGAGGGAATTCTTCAGCTGACCTCAAGGGATATTTTCTCATTTCAGCTCATCCAGATGAATAATAATTAAGTATCATCAAATGTCTCTGAGGATAGCATCTCCTACAAGTCCCTTAGGATTGCTGTTGTTGGCATATTCCAGCACTGGTTGAAACAGGGAAGTGGGAGGATTCACTACGGTATTTAATAGAGGGTTGTGCCCTTTCGACTTTTGACACTACCAAATGAAGATGTGACAGTAAATAGGAGAGGCTTTGCTGGAATATGCTGGAAACAACAAACCATAACTAAAGACTCTGCAGTGTGGCCAGGCTCTTCTTTTCCCTACTGCCAGTCCAGAGTAACCTTTTAGTGTCCATGGAGGAGGTCACTTTCCCTCTCCATATATAATACTTGTTTCATTCTGCTTCCCACTTGAGGCATTTTGTTAAGTTTTGCCTCTCATGTGAAGGAGATGTTTAATTCAGTTCTTAACTGTGGTCTTTTATCCTACCAGGCATGAGGAGGGATTGAAAGACTGTGTGGTTTGCTGGCACCTGAGCTGTTTTGTATCAATAACCCCTCATTGCAATTCAGCACATGAGCATTTACGTTGGGTTCCTAAGGTCATAGATTTAGATACAGCTTAAGGGGGAACCTAAACATAATCCATGCACTAATAATCTGGCTGTGAATGTGTGAAGACAACTCTGAAAGTAGAATCTGTTTAAAAAGACCACAGCAGACTGTTTTTGTTTGGCAAATTAGGATCTTCAAACTGTGCTGTGGCCAGTGTTTAAAACACTTTTCCTGGACATGTGGGCATTAATTAGAAAAGCCTCTATAACACCCCACTGCCTTATAATTTGTCCTCCCACTTCTTGTTACCAAACTCATCCTTCCCATCATCATGACATGGTACTATTCCAGTACTACACACATCTTTTCAGCAGTTCCCCTCCTGTCTCTCCTCTGCACACACATGCACAGCAGTGGGAATGGGATTCAGAGCCCAGCTTTAGAAACATAAACAAACTCTTACCAGCCAACTCCACCACCGTTGTGCAGTGCGACCCAGGTTGCTCCTCTGAACGAATCTCCCACAAAGTTCTGCACTGCCATGTCTAGGAGAAGAGGAAAGGTGTTATGGATCTCACATACTGAACTCATTTTTCTGTTGTGCTGCTCACTCCTTCCATTGACATCTTCGTTGTGGCTGTGTGAAAGCAGAGTTTACTCACAGCTTCTCTCACAAATTTACACTGAACATCTCATTCTTGGGAAGAACAGGCAAAAGAGACTATCCTTGCACTCACTGCCCATTCACTGGAGGAAGCAAATGGCAGTCTCACCCTGTGGTTTGTGAGGACTCTGGTGCTTTCTGCATTTCTGCTCCAGTTCAAGCAGATGAAGGACCTACCACTCCTCAGCTGGGAGATACCTCCTCAGGATGGAGAGAGGTGCAGCCCCCTCCTTTGAGGTGTCTCAGTCATGGAAGAGCAGGCTGGACATATCTGTGTGGATGGATTCAAAGTGGGGAGGACATCTGGAACACTGCACACCTTGCAGTTCTCAGAAGTCTGAAGTATTTTCAGATCTGAGTGCAGAGTTATTTCAGCCCTGTGCAGAAAAATCAGCCAAAAGCTAAGGAGTTGCATTCTGGGAACGAAGTTGGGATGAAAGTCCATGCCAATTCTCTGAACATGAGGGTAATTTACCCTGAACAGGAACTGCTGAAACCACAAAGAAGGTTTCTTTTATTTAAAAAAACTCCACACTAAACTAACAAACAACCCCCCCAAAAAACCCAAAACAAGACCAAAAAAAACCCTCAAAGAACATAATTTAGGAAACAAATGTAATTTGACTACTATCAAATGCATGACTTCCACCAAATTGTTCACTAGAATTTTGGATATTTACTACAATATGTGCTGAAGCATGTACCCAGAGAGGTGGAAAGAGATACACACAGAAGATACAAGAGTGAAAATTACTGAAAACATTTGTCCATATTTGATTCAGGGGATATTCAATACACAATTTGCCTTGTTTTTAACACGAAAAATAAGAGAAAAACAACAATATCCCTACCAGCTGGATTCACAGACCCAGTTATGTGTCTGATGGAAAAATGAGTTTATTTGAGCACTAATCCATGTTAAACCCTGTCAAAAGCTCCATTATGGCATCTTTTATCTGACATTATGTCACTTTAATAATGCAATTATCATAATTACAGTGCTGTCAAGATAGAATGGGAGAGATCTAAATCACCGTATTCTAAAACGTACAAATTTCCTCCTCAGCCACTAGCATGATAAGAGTGGAGGTTGGACAAGGAGTATGGCAAGTGAACTAACAATGCAATAACCTGCTGCTTTTGGCTTGGATAAAAAGAATTGACTGCAAATGTCTGCGCTGAAATACACTGTGCAAAGCAGTGATAACCCATCAGTCTGAGGTACTTTAAAACAAAATGAGATAGGCAAACATTCTGGAAAAGTCCTGTGTGCCAAAGAGGAGACAACTTCACCTGAACCAGTTCAAATGGTGGTGTTAAAACAACAGGAAAGAAGGGATAGGAAGACCTAAGGTGTTCTTTTATTATCTCCAGAGGCTCATCTGGTAAAACAGAGTTAGGCCTGGTTTCAAAGATCAGCAGTATCAGTGGTCAACCAGCTTTAGATAAGCCCTTGGAGAAGGAAAATGGTTCATGTAAATCACAAAATGCAAAGAGACCCACAAAGGATGATGAGCAATGGGGTTTAGCAAGCCTTGTTTCTGTTGCCCTCTTCTGAGGACATTGCCTCCCATTTACTTATGTTGCTAAGGCCTTTGATGGAGACATTGCTTTGGATTGCTGTTCTCAGTGCAGCTGCACCATTTTCTTATATCTTGGCAGAAACCAACATTATTCAAGAGCTCTATTCATTTGGCCCATTAGAACGAGCCAACACACTTAAAATGTGGGAAGTGGGACTGATAGATACAGCTAAAAGCCTAATTTCACCAGGAAATCCAGTTAAGATAGCAGGGAACTTTTATCCTTAAAATTGTACCATAATTTGGTTCTATTATGAATTCCCATAATGGAAGTAATTCAATATGCTCAGCTACCTCTATCATAATTTCTCCTTCTATAGCAGCAGATCCTCCAATTTCACACCTCTTTGTGATTGTCAGTTCATGACATATGGAAACACTACTAGGCTAAAGCTATTATCATAATTTCCACTTTATGGATGGAAAAGTGAGGAAGATTTTGGTTAGAAATTGCTTAGTGCTTCATACTTACCTTTTTTTTTTTTTTTTTTGTGGATTTCCAATCTGGTGTTTCTTGCATTTATTTCTCTAAAGCATCACTTCAAAAACTTAAAAGCAGTCTGCTTAGCTCAGGTCAGGTGTGTAGCATTAAAGATTGCTTTTGTATAACAAATCGACATGATTTGCCCACAGTCACACCATAAGTGAATGTAATCTAATCCACAATGCCTGACTTCCATTCTTATGCCTTTACTATCAGAATGTGTTCCCTTTTGAGCAGAAAAGTTCCTTTCAGAAACTCTAGATTATTTTCTTGAGTCTTAAGGCAATGGAATGAAAGAAGCTGTGAACCTTTTTTGCTTTAAGCAGAATACTATGATAGCCCTGATTTTGATCCTGTGGATTCCACAGAAATATGGCTGTAACTCTGCTTGGATCACCTGTTTGAAACAGTGAGGTGCAAAGTTAAAGTCAACCAGAAAACAGTCATCTGAGACTGCTCTCCATTTACGTTCAGGTACATCTGGTGCATCTTCACTGCACTTCCAGGACCTGTCCTCTATAAAGAGCTCCACATTCATGTCTGTGTTACTACTAAATCCCACAAAGCTTCTCAGGAAATCTGATTAATTGGGATTAAAGGGTTAAACAAAAACATTTTTTAAAATGTTGCATAAAAAACTACTTATTTCTCTTTTAAAGCCATTTCCTTGCTTGCCCAGGCAGACAAGTCTCAGCTGCTCCACTGACCTGCACAAAAGGCGGATCCATCATAAATGTTTGACGTTTCTCTGAAAGGACTGTCAGTCCCACTCACGTCGTGGTGATCTCGGCTGAGGACTACTGGAGCCTGGAAAAAGCCAAGGACAAGAAAGTGGAATCCTTCATGGATTGGCATTGCTACTGAGGATCATCATCTGCTGAATTCACTTCTGTCTTAGGTCATTTCAAATCTCACCTTTGCCCCCTCTCTCTTAAACCCCCCAAAACTCCGTTTCTGCCTGTTATTATTTATTCTAAAACAGTTGTTCACATACTGTTCATGAAAGCCACCATAACAAAGAACAACAGCCTGCTTTTATGCCAATGGCATCCTCAAAGGAGGGCAGATAGAAGAGGGGAAGTAGTGAGGTTATTTCATCCAAGCATTTCTTTGCTGAAATTTTAAAAAGGCATTTCAGTATGCAAAGGTCTTCATTCAGAAAGTTGTGTTTGCTGTTGAAAATTAAATTCATAGTACAAAGTTTCACAATTTTGTGGTTTTTTAATGACTTTAGACTAAAAACTTAACAATAAAAATCAGTGATTTCATGTACCTCGAACAAGTCCATTCTTGGTCTTGAATTTAATTGACAGTATGAATAAATATCAGCTTGAAGGTATTCATTATCATTTGCCATGCACTAGGTTTATATAAGAATAATTCAACTCTTGGCATGGTGTGGTCTGGAGTTAACTGACTCTGTTTTATGCTGGCAGTGAATTAGAAAATCACTGAAAATACACATGAGCACCCAGATTGCAAGAGCAGGAATGGAGATTTGCAGAAACAAAAGAAGGGCAACAAAATCCAAAGGGCCTGGGAGTCTGACCTTGTCAGTCATAGCTCCAAGGGAGTGCTCCGGCTGGTCAGGTTTATTTTATGAGACTAGCTTGCAGTGACCTTCACTTGGAATCCTGAGTGGGTCAACAGCATTTGAATTATTTAACTAACATTTTCTAAGTAACAAAAACCAGACCTTTCCAGATAGAATCCATTCTAAGTTTTACTTGAATTTGCTCCTTTAATAAGGGTAATTGTGATCCAACTATAAAAGAGATGGAGATAAACAAGTGACATTGTCTTGGTCTGATGCTGCTGTACACACAACAAGTAATCAAAGAACATCCTGAGTAGGAGGGGATCCACAAGAACATAAATCCACCTCCTGGCGCTGCACAGGACAACCCCAAGTACCAGGTCTAATTGCTGGGTGGTACCTTCAGGAATTTGGTCTCCCCCAGGATGTCACATTGTACATCTACCTACAATATTCATGAAGAACTTACAAAATCTCTACCCAGTCTTGCCCACAGTATGTACTGTTACTATCACCACACAGAATCAGTGGGATTTTACCCAGATGAGTAAGATATTGGCATTATGCTCTACAGGGGCAGTGTGAAGCCTCAACATTTTCTTCATGCATACATGCAATGCAAATTGACTGCAGAGCTTTCTCTAGCTGTAAAATATGGTTGCAAGTGAGGGATAGAGGGGAAGAAGGACTGGGGAGCAGCACAGTCTCTTGTTACCTCTAATATTTGGGACACTACTGAGGAGTGTTAGAGTGTTAGATCCCTGCCTTGTGTTCTCAGCAAATCACGAAATGATGTGTTGTGCTTCTAGATGTCCAAACAGAAAATAAGGCAGATTCCCACCATGGAAAAAAAGGTAGCCTATTTCAGAGAATTTTTAAACCCATCTCTCCCCTATTACATAGTGCAATATGAGTGGCAGGCAGAGAGAAGGACTGAACTCTAACATACACTAGAAGAAACTGGTTCCCTGTAAATTGCATTTCTGGTCTCACTGGTTGCAGTCCTCCTTTACCACCTGCCACTCCAGTCTCAGATATTAAACACAATTACCCAGACCATATCAAGACAAAAAAGGCAAACCTTAATCTTTCCTTCAGAAATCGCTTTATTAATAGCCACAGCTATAGACACACGACCCCTCTGATCAGAATATAAGATTCTAGCTTGAGAGCCAACAACCTGGAAAAGAAAAATGACAGAATGATAAGGTTCTCTGCAGCTAGTTTATCTTCAGGCCCCAGATGAATGAAGTCACAGGAGTGACCCCTTCCCTTCTATAGAGAAAAGTGCAGATTAATTCTCCAGAAGCATCTAGCTTCCAGAAGAAAAGAAATTAAAACCCTCTTTGAACTTAGTTTTATCTCCACCCACACAATCCATGAGATGTATTTCCATATTCAGCTGCTAGTCCAATAAACTCGACTTTTTAAATCAACCTGATTGCTGGGCTATAATCCCTCTATCAACAAATCCCTTAGCAGCAGCTGAGATGCAGAGATTTGGAACATCTGATAGCAGGCTGGAAGGGAAAGGAAATGTGGGAACAAAACATGGCACAGATCACCTGTGCTTCACAGCTCTGCTGCTCTCCACCCCACAGACCAACCTGGCTTCCCGATTAGGAAAGTACATATGAGCTCTACAGCATTAGTGGTTTGCTTCACAGGAGAGCCTGCCCTGAAAGAAAACGAAGGATGCTCCACTGGCATCCTGCTTCCCACAATGCAGAATGATGGCAGCTCTCACCTTATCACCCGCTTTGAAAAGAGTTCTGGGCACTGCAGGCATGAAGAGGCTGGCCCAAATCAGTGCCAAGGGAGACATTTTGAACAGTGCTCTGAAAGAAGGGTGCTTACAACTGAGGTGGAGCATGAATGACTGATATGTTTCATTCCAGATAGGAGAGTAGATATTGCTGCATTATTTTAACATTTCCAGATGAGGTAATCAAGACAAATAACTGTTTCAGCTCTCCCTAAGACTCTGCTGTGGAGAGGGAGATTTAAATTGTCAGCCCTGGGAACTACAGCCAGTGTTCTCATTCATGCCCACTCCTGCTTTTCACCCCAGTGTTCAAGCACTGCATTTAGGACCAGGAGCAGTCACATCTGCTGAAGGAGGTTGTGAACTTACCAAGCTGTGCCTGCCAGCTTCCCGAATCCAGCGGATGTTGTCATGGTACTGCTGCTTCACAGATGTGCTCACTTGCAAGAGAAAGCAAGGAAAAAATAGGGTCTGAAAATTAATGCAATATGCTCCAAATTTACATTAATTCCTCTGGCAGCACTAGGAAGTCACATTCTACTCTCAGATATAAGCACGCATATAGGAAATGCTGTATAGAGTCCTCTGTGCAGCTGATGCAGTAACTGCACCACATATTTAGAGAAAGGTACAATATGTCACCCAGGAGACAGCTGGAACAGTAACTCCCATTTGGATCTTCAGTAAACTAAATTTAACCTTGAAATATGGGTTACATGTACATTTTATGGTCACCTGGCTTGCTGCCTGCTAAATGTCCATGTATTTAGTGAAGACTAAAGGCCTTCACTAGATTAGAAAGTTTATCAAACTCCATGACGTTGGGTACTACAGTTCAGTCTTGCACCAGGTAGTAAATCTCTCTTTTGAGACAGCTAGCAGAAATTCTCAGAAGCAGCTGGCAACATGTACTTGAGGATAAGTTACACCAATGCTGGGATATAAATTTATAGCACAGCAGTTATTCTGTACTAAATGGTCCTTGTGAATGTTTTCATCCAAAGATAAAGCTGAGATCTCTTACCCTACAAACTGAGGCATGTTGCCTTGCATTACTATGGGAAAAAAACTGCACAGAAAAACATATTATGGAGTAGCTACATTATGTGTAAATCCATTCTACATCTTGTTTAGATATATATATTTTGTTGATGAAGAAGAGAAATATATATAATGGGTTTATATTCTCTAGTTTCTTCTCTCATTTGTATCTGTGCCATTCCACCTCAATAAGTCAAACCAAGGAGGAGTAATAATAAAGATATTTGAAGTAAAAGACCGTGAAATATGGCACATATCCATCAGCTACATGGTGGCCTCAGTACAATCAACTGCCCCCAAAGGCATGGCACAATCTGCAGTGAGTAACAAAAGAGGGGGTATGAAATGGGACAGAAACATTGCCTTTCTATCTAATTTACAGGGCTTTTACAGCTCAGATGAGGTTGCAGTGGCTGAAGAAGCTACTGCCTATAAGCTCTTCCTCTGTGGGCTAAGCTATGTCACATTAACTTGCCCTGAGGGACATGGCCATCTACCAGGGCTCGGCTGGTGTGACAACATGCTGAGCCACAGTGACTTGTTCATGCGTTGGAGCTTCAAGTCAATCCTTTCTGCAGATGCCAAGATGGAACGTTCTCCTTTACCTTTCAGCACTTACCCATTCTCAGGTCAATTTATAACGTACACAAAACTTACGTTTGAAAGTCAAACTGCAGAAACTGCACTCTGCTAACTTGAAACTGTCCACTGAGAAGCGTGTTTAGACTGCTGCCTTTCCATGAGGCAGCAGTTACGCAGAGCAAAAGTCAAAAAAGGAGAGAGGGAGAAGCAAGATACTCGTATTTAACCTGTGTTAAACACATTGTTAAATGGAAATGAAAAATATGCTCATTCCGGCAGAGACAGACCTTCCATACAGAGAGCTTTAATGATCCTAAAAAGACCTGTCAGTGCTCTAGGGGTTGGCTCCAAGTGATAGCTTCTAAACTCTGCTGTGAGGATTAACATGTCAGCACTTCACTTTGCAGGGAGTAAAAGATGAAACATCTGCTAGTGCTGTCCTAATAGGATTGTGCTGCCACTCATAAGCTTTAAGGAAGCAGCCTCTAGAAAGCAAGGGGCAGTGTTCACTTAGGTACTGTAGATATATAATGAGTTTACAGGAGTTACTCCAAAAAACAAACAAAAAAACCCAAACAAAACCAGAGAAGGGATCCTTTCTATCACTTTTATAAACTATCTCAAAGAACATGTACCATATTTCATACTTCACAGTGCAAAGACTTATAGAAAGGATCTTACTGTCTGTAAGTTCTTCAGAACATATCCAGAAGAGAAGCCAGGTGAGAATACTGGCTACAAGGACCTATATCAACACAGCACATCTGTCCCTCCCAGCCAGCTCCAATAAACAGTCGTATTCTCTCTCCTAAATAGTGATGTGTCCAAAGTTTGATTTCATCAGTTATCCCTGGGGAAGTGAGGAGTCCTCCCTTTTATTTAGTCTTACTTCCTGCAATTGAAAAAAATCTTACAGCTTCTTTTAGAATAACTTTAACTTTAGAGTACCTCCATGTGTCTCATTTGCTATACTGCTGCCTCACCTCCCCATCCCAACAGAAATGTGCTTTGAAGTCAGGCAAGTTACTGTGTTGCTTGTGGTATTTCATAAGCCCTTGTACATATTTAGAGTTTTAAAGGCATTAGAAAGCACTGTGTACTCAGAGAAATAGTCCCAAGCAACACAGACTGGCTCCTTTTGCTCTTGGGAGATTTATATTGTTATGCATCAGCCCAACTTTCAAATTATCACAGAGTTTGTAAATCCAAGTTACACCCCAATAATCAGTTGCTGCATCTCTAATGCAAAAGTGATCTTAAAAGCTCAGGTACAATTAGATAGTGAAACTACTGTTTTCATAATGGATTCTTTCATAAATATCAACAATATGTTCAGATTTTAGATGTGTGTGAGGTTATCCAGACCCTGAACTTTGGTCCGAATCCAGGTCTCATAGAAAGTGGACAGCAGGTGGAATATTCAAGAACACATATGCATGAATAGCTGGGTTTTTTCTGCCCAAATTCAGTTCTTCTTTCTCTTTGAATCAAATTCCCATTGTCCTGCCAAATTCAACAACAAATCAAATAATAGCCTTGCCCTTAAGCCTGTTTTCACTTGTTGGGATTTTTTTAAATGTAATTTTTCGTTTACATTAAGAATATACAAGCAACAGTTCAATGCTTTTTGTCTGTGCAAGAGAGTTCTCTCCCCAGCTTTACATTACATCTATATAAACACCCCCATACTGCTGTGTACACAGTAACTGATTCATTTCCCAGTCTTGCAATGCAAACCATTCAAAAGGTCATGCATTGGTTCAGTCCTGGGAGAAGACCTCTGGAGGCTGCAGTACATGGTAGAAGAGTTACTGCAAATTTCTGAAGACAGATCCAGCACTATAGTATTGGATTTTATCCTCCCTTTAGTAAAGCCAAGGGGCCAGTTTTAAAAACATGGAAGTTTCAATATCCATAGACCAGAGCAAGCACCTTGAGGTTGTTGCATTTCTTGAAGATGGCCTCTAAGGAAAGATTAGGAGAACACACAGAACTAAGGACCTTGCAGGGTCAGACCCACTCTATCAATAACTCATCTCATGGGAGGAAAAGGAGGCTGAACATCAGCCTTACATTATGGGAAGACAACAGTAGTTTTGTTCCGAATGAGACATCTGAACATGGTATATATCCTTTCTAAAAATACCATTCAGGATCCTCACACTGATAATTTTTTCAGAGTTAACCAGAGAGCATTCAAAATTTTCACAATTCTACTTGTATTTCAAATGATGACTTCCACTAAAGAAGCAACAAATATTTTAAATTACCAGGGGAAAAAATATTATGCTCTCCTTCTCATAAAATAGGTTTTGGATTTGTGATCCTTCTCCTTTTGATCCCGAGGAATTCCTCAGAATTCAAGGATTCTTTTGTTGATTCTGAAAAGCATAAAGCTCTGCTCTCTGGAAATAAAAAAGCTGAGGACTTTAGTGCTAGGGGACAATGACAAGTCTTTGAGTCTGCTGTCTGACTGTAAAGGTGGACCAAGAAAAGGAAAGAAGTAGGACCTTCCACTGCAACCTGAAAGATCAGGATTTATGTTTGCTGACACAAAATTAGCTTTGTCTCAATTTCCATTCATAAGCAGAGGATAACAGTAATAATTCCTTTTTCAGAGGTGTGGAAGAATGAAAGGCAGTGTCATTTCTTGATCCTAGAGTAGCATACAAAGCCATGCAGGTATTCCAAATTTATTCCACCAGTGAACAGAAATAGCTGGCAATTTATTAACAAATGACAAAAAAACCCCTCAAAATTGTAATCACAAAAAAATGACACTGGATGGAGCACCACACCCATGAAACCTGGGTTTCCTGCCACTGATCTCCTTGCTAACCTCCTGAAAACCTCCCTAGATTCCCATGCCTCATTCACCTGTAAGACAGGGGAAAAGCAATTTGACTCCTTAAATTACTCTTGGAGACCTGTTGATGAAAGATACTGTTTGCCTTAAAGTTTCAAGGTGACAAAGTTCAGGACAACCTGTAACAAAGTTAAAATAAATGTTCTTAGCCAAAATTGCACAATAGCTATGGGATCAATATCCGCGGTGCTTTTATGTTTTACCTACTGGTTACACTCCTTACAGGGGTTTGGAGAACAGCGGGGTTTTCTGCCCACATGGAAAATGAAAGAGCCTGCTTTCTATGTTTTAAGCCAAAAGCTAACACACATTTTCCAACTCTCAGTATCCTTCTCTCTCCAGAAGCAGCCCCAGTGGCAGGGGCATGGGATGATGTCTTACCTCCCTTCCGTATGGAGTCCTCCAGCACTGACATGGCAATGGAGTCAGTCGTAGCAAGGTCCTTTGGGTCACCTGAGGTACAAACCCAGCGGAATGGCCCAAATCCCAGGGAAAAAATGTCCCTGGGAATAGAACATGTTTCATTAAGAGATAGTTGAAATTCTTTCCTTATTTATCCTGGCTGCTAGCAGTGCTTTTCTTTCATTAGCTGGAGACGGAAGAATTTGAAACATTTTCAATGAACTAATCCAAACAGAAGCATCAAGGACCATTAACTGAGAAATTAAACAGTGGTGTTTCATGCAGCCATAAACCACTGTATAAAAACACAGTCAGGCCAGGATTTTGAAAGTCATGCTGGGCAGTTCAATCAAACAAGTGCATCACCAGATGACTTGCAATTTTAATTCTGCTTCATCAAATATACTCTGCCTGCTGCCTGGTCTTTGTGCCCTTAACCCAGGCTAACCCTGAGTGCATCTGCACTATCAGACAAGTGTAGGTTCTGAACCAGTGCCTGAGTCCAGACTCATTTGCTGCCCACATTGTTTACATACAATAGCAAGACACGCTTCAGTTGAGGTCCGGAAGGGAAGATCTAGTCTGGTTGGTGCCTTACTCTATGGTCAAGCTCTTATTCATGTGGCACAGGCAAGTTAAAGCATGAGTCAGAGGAAAAATGAGTTATAAATCCAGTCCCTCAACAGACCTGGGTTCAGCTGTTTCCTTCCACAAGCTGCATGTACAGCTTGGGTAAGAGGCTGGAGACATGGGCAGAGGAGTGTCATCTTTCAGACACGCCTTTAACTTCAGTGTAGACATAGGCTTTGATGAGCTGGAATTGGGTTCTGGACATTTGGCGCTGAAGAGACAAACTCTCCATTTTTAGCACCTACAAGTGAGGTTGCCCATAGTTACAGTTTGAGGCTGTGACTTGGCTCTTCTTTCGAGTAGAACTGCTTAAAAGAAAATTTATACAAAGACAAAATGAAGCTATTTTATGTGAAGGACTGAAGAATTTTGATCTGGCAATGTTTCAACCCAGACTAACTCTGGCATAACACCTGCAAGATCAGTTTTCCAACCAGTGTTGGTGTTCTTTTGATCCTTCATAGCACACTGCAAATTTGCACTAATCTCTGTAGTACTCCCCACTAAACAGAAGGAGTCACAAGGCACTTAAGAGCATATTCCAAACTCTGCCCAACATACCCCATAATGTGCTGAACATAGGAAGGATATCGAAATTCTGTTTTATTTGCTCCTTTTTTCTCAACATCAGCACCTGGAAGAGAATTTTAATAATCAGTGATTCAGTGCAAAAATCCCTGTATAATGTTAGCCCCTATTGCACCTACGTTCCCATGAAGGCTGTATCTCATCCAGGGAGGGTCAGGGGTCTCAGAGAACAAGAGAGAAAGAGAGGGTAAAGAGTTAAAATAACAGTGGCCAGCCCCATTCTACCAACATATGCAGCTGGGAAGATGCATACAGGATTGTCCTTGTTTCCACCTACAAGTACAGGATCTACTCACCAGCCCTTTGAGCTTCCAAGAGAAAAGCATTGCCATAATCCCAAAAAAACATGCCCTTATCAGCAAGTTTGTTAATAGCAGCCACATGCCTCCTCAGACTGGAAGAAAAAGGAAACAGTTATTCTTGAGATTGATGAAATATCAAAGAGAATAATACTGTGAACTCACTAACAGTATGGGAGTAGGGGTGACAGATGGAAATGAAAGACTCCAGATAAATTTAAGCATAAACCCATAAATCAACAATTGAGATGCTCTCAGTCTCTGTAGCACCTGTTATCCCCAAATCTTGAAGTAGTTTACACTCATTAAGGGAACTTCATTCATTGGCAATGAGGGGTCACATCTTTCAGCAAAGCAATGCAGCCAGATCTGGGGGTGGATGGCAATAACAAAAAACAGACTACACAAAACTGCTCAACGGCTTCAGAAGTTCACAGAGCAGAGACAGAAAAGCTGAAAATGGCTTAACATCATTGTTCTGGCCTCACTCTTGGCCAAAACAGCCCACATGGCCCTTTCTTTCCCATAATGGGCCTTCTTCAGGGCTGGTCCCTGTGATAACATTTCCACCTAATATTTTGTCTAGTTCTAATATCAATGCATAGTTGCATACAGACTTGTACACACATAAGTGTAACTTCTTGGAGTTCTGGAGATAGATCAATGACTATCAAATGAGAATGGATTTTTTTTTTTTAGGCCATATCTAGCTTGTTAGAAGTTAGTTCCTCACAGAAATTTACCTTTCTGTTAGCTTTGTCTTAGATTAGTAGGACACAGAATTGGGGAAACTGGAAAGGTTCTTGTTGGTCCCTCATCCAAAGTCATATAGATGTTATGCCCATATTCTACCTTCTACTAGTAAAAAGTCTCCACCAGGATTATCCAAGGTGAACAAAATGAGTGTAGGAGCACTCTCCTTGAAAGGACCAGTTAAGAACTACAGTACAGCTTTATTTACATATAAATTATGCCAAATTGTTCTCTTTGTAATGTCCAATTTCACTTGCAAACTTCTAAATCAGGAGTAGGCTTCTTGAAATCAAGATGCTAAGCAGAACTAAACTTGAAGGTTAAAAAGACATATTGCCAAAACATTTACCTCTCTTGTACCAGGGTCCGGAACTTCCCTGGATCGGTGGAAAGGAGCTGCTTTGCTTCCTCAAAGCCGAGCTGTACTGGATAGTACCCCCCATTAAATGGGTTGTGACATGAAGTTTGGTCAGATCCCAGGTCAACCAGCAGCTCTCCTGTTTTGTCCAGCTCACAGACCAGCCTCTCCCTGGGGAAGACAGTAGATGGAGTGGTTGAACATAAGCTGTCATTTCACAGTCTGGATCTTCTTTCGGGAGAATTTCTTCCAGTCCAAAAGGTTGTTTGTGAAAGTAGGCCCTTGGATAAGGATTTGCAGGAGGCTAAGCCAGGAGGTAGGAAGTGATGGAGCTGAAGATTTAGGTGCAACTTTTATACTTCACATTTTCCTATGCAGGAATGCTGGTATGACTGGATGATGAGGTGAGATGAGTCAGCCCTTGGTATATGGTGTGACAACAAGAGTTACCACTGAATAAAACCTCAAGAGCCCCAGGATTTCTACCCATTATTTTATTATTTTTATTTAATCAGTACCTCAGTACTTCTATTCTTCACTTACAGCAGCCTTCCAGTACTTTACAAGAAGGCTGGAGAGGAACTTTTCATGAGGACATGTAGTGATAGGAAAAGAAGGAATGGCCTTAAGCTGAGGGACAGTTTAGACTAGATATGAACAAGAAATTCTTTATTATAAGGGTGGTGAGAACTGGAACAAGTTGTCCAGATAGGCTGTGGGCTTCTCATTTCTGGAAGTGTTCAAGACCAGGCTGGTTGGGACCCAGGTAAACTTGGCCTCATGGTAGGTTCCCTGCTTGGGGCAGGGGGTTGGAATTAGATGACCTTTAAGGTCCCTTCCAACCTGAACATGGCTATGATTCACTGAAGTCAAAGACATTTTCTTGCAATCTTGCAATCAGTGAAAGATTACAAGGAAATAGATAAATTCTTTTTTCATCTTATGCAGAATCCTGGAATTTCTTTCCCTAAGCCATTTATTGTTCCATAAAGAAAGGAGGAACGTGAGAGAAGCAACTGGGAACTGGAACACAAGGATGAAGATCTCTCTTTTGACAATAGTTTTTCATTAACATCCAGAGTAATGTACTCAGCACTAGATTTAATGTCTTTTCCAAGTTTGGGAATTAATTCCAGATGGACTAACAAGCCAGAGCATTAATGTATTCATTAGCCATACATGCTACTTACCATAGATCTACCACATTCCCATGGTAACCCAAACTAAGGGCAATCTTATTCTTTCTTGCTTCTCTAGAAAAGAATAAAAAGATGGGTTGAAGAAAATGCACCTCATTTCATCTTGCAAAGTATATCCCACACAGAATCAAAGCCAGCAAAAAAGTCTGCATGTAGTTTTCAACACTAATCTAGAAAACAGATCTTTCGATCTTTTCATAATTGTTAATCACAGATTCCATAAAACTTGAGTGATGCTTCAAGTGTAACATCAGTTGTAATTGCTCTATGCATATTCATGAAACTGAATGAGGACACATTTAACATATCCAAATTATATGAATTATTAGTAGTTACTAACAATGATTGCTGCAGCTCGGGAAACTGGGTTTGCATTCCAAAGCAGACTTGGAATAAGAAGAGTATCCCTCAACACCTCTGACATGTACACTGAAATGGTACAAGGCAGGAAAGATGTGAAGTGAGGGTTAGGAAGCAGAGATAAACTCCCTGAATTATGTTGCAAGTCATACCTAAGGCGAGCCATGCAATGGTCCAGGTTGTTAGAGATTTCCATCAGCCATCCCTGCTTGTGACGTTTCAGAAGTGCTGCTTCATCAACCTAGGAGTAATAGCAGAGATCTGAAAACTCCTGTTCCCCCTACGTAGTCACTTTTACCTTTAGTTTTTCAATTACCCTGCAAGAAATAGTAGCAAAAAGGTAAAGGTAATAGCCCTGCTATTACCTTGAGATATATCTATATGTAATCAAGATATAATATCCAAAATTATTGTTCAAATATTTATTTTTTACCTCTGATGTTTTTTACACTTTCTGTTCTCTTTTACTCCTCGCTCAAAGCAAGAAATAGACTTGATACATCACCTCCTAAAATATTCTACAAACCAAAATTTATCATTAAAGTTGTGCAAGAGGTAATATTTTTCTTACTGTTTTTCTTCACAATTATGTTAAAAAGCCAAAATATTTCCAATTTATTTTTAAAATCTGGTTATTTTCTGTGAAAATTGTATTTTTAATTGATTAAGAAAATATTTTCTTTGATCAGCTCAGAGAGATGTTTCTGCCAGGTGGCCCAAGATAAAGCTGTGGTTTGCTGAATAAAATTGACCCTTACCTTTGTTCTTGGACTGCTGGTTGAAAATCTCAACCAAATACAGAAAAGGGGAAGGCACCTTCTTGTCCCAGCTGGCTAATGCCACCAAAAAATAGCACAGATCAAAACAAGACTGTCTTTAATTCCCTCGTTTGAAATTTGAAGCCCCAAACAAGCTCAGTCCCAAAGCTGTACTCTCTTCTGGGCTCAGTTTCTGTGTGTGCCAGTGTGGATGTGCCCAAGAGACAGCTGCATAAAAATATAGATGGATGGACAAACTGTGGAGGCTTTGAACCATTAATATGGAATCTGTGCCTGTGTATGAACTTGCACATCCATTAATACTTTTATAATGAGCTATAAGTGGCATAAAGCAAGAGGCAAAATTAGTTTAAGCCAATATTCTGTGGTAGCAACAGATTTAAAACACCCACAGTGGTGTGTGTGCATGAGAACACATAACCTAACTTCTATTTCATTAAAGTATTTTTTACTTCTTTATATTCCATCCCCATAATTTTCATTCTTTCTCATTAAGAACATATTTACATGTAAATTAATTAGGTTCTGTATTCAGGAGTTGCTTGAACACCAGGAAACCTTTTCTTTCCCAATTATTCTTAGCATGAGAAACCTTCCATAATTTTCCACATGAGTAATAAAGACTATCCTTCCAAAACCCCGGATTATGATAATAATAGTGTCACTGCCAATGGAATTATTCAATAAAGTCAGGTGCCGTGGGGGACAGCTTCTTTTGAGTTATTTAAATCAGCACAGGAGGAAAGATATTAAGTGGTCTGTATGAATTACAGGAATTCAGTTCATTTAAATCCCCACATAACACAGATCAGATCTATTTAAATGTTACCACATCCTACATATTTTACTTTAGCCCTCTCTGACATTCTCAGTCCTTCACAGACCTGCCAGCATACTCAAGAAAACTAGCTTCCTTTGAAACACACTTTCAAAAATACGCTCATTTTTCATCAGCACCTCAGTATGTTTAAAAAATTGCATAAAGATGATGGTCAAATGTTGCCTCCAGTGTAACCCCAGAGAGCTCAGTGCAGCTCAGAGGAGACAGTCTGGCCCTCCACGCAATTATTTCATAAAATTACAATCTGCTTCCTGTCAAACAGAAGAGGTAAAAGACTTGCACCATTAATCCCTTCAGTCAGAGCTTCAGAAGCCCTGGCTGATAAAACAATCTCTCTTGCAGAGTTCAGCGCCATTTGCATAAACAGTTTCTTAAACAAATAATATGTACATATATATAGTTATCCACATGTGCTCCTGAGTCTCATTTCCGACCAGGATCATCTCACAGGAGATAAAAACCAGGCGATATTCAGTCTCCTGAACAAAATCATCTGCAACCGTAGAGATGAAAAGGACAAAGGACTGCCGTGAACAGCATTCACTGGAATCTTTCCTTTGTATTCCAGCATTTGAGAGATTGTGATGACAGAGAAGTCTGAATAAAGATAATTTATTCATTAATAATTTATTCAATAGTAAATTGAATAAATTTATTTCATCTGCAGAGGGTACCTGAGGAGATCTCAAATACACGCAAAACTCACATGCCCACAAAACCACTTTTGCACAATTGTTCTAAAGCAGATGAAGCCTCAGCCTTCCATGAACAAGACCTGAGCTGGGCAGAGCAGTCAGGTTTACTGCACACCCTGTGGGCAGTCTGACCTGTTATGTTTTGAAGTTTAATCGTAGCTACTCTAGGTCAGATTGCAATATTATAATTTTTTTATCCTTTCTATTGCAACGTGACATGGCCACAACAGAGGGTTCCCAGATAACTGTCTCTAAATGACTTTAGCTGAGGAAGCTAAACTCCCACTCCATTCAGCTCCAACTGGAGTTTAGTTCTCAAAAATCCCCCTTCCTCTGTAGCAGTAGCAACATCCCATCACCTGCAGATACCCAGGAGAGCTCAGTGCATTTTGGTCAGTCCTGTATCTGCTCTTCCAAGAACTGAATTCTAAGTCATGACAAAAGAAATGCATGGAAATGTTTATTTTATGTTTCTCAATAACCAGTATTACTAAAGATAGTCAGTACCATTTTCACAGAAGTGCAGAGCAACGATCTCTTAAAAGTTGCTGCAGTGTTTCTGTACTCCATCCTTCCATCTGGTTGTTAGAACAGAACCCTATGATAAGATATCTGTGGATCCTGTTATCCACTATTGTGATTGCTTGGGCATTACCAGTGTTTAAATCACAAATCATTATTAGATTATCTTTGTTTATGGGAGGAAATAACTGGTCTGCTTTATCGTATTTAGAACAGAGAAACATTATATCAGGATGAGAGACTCTGTTCAACGAATATATACAGTGGGAGAGCTTCAGAAACAAGGAAAATGGTACTACAGAACTTCTCCTCCATCAGCATTTTCTCTCAGCAGAACTTACCTTCTTTGTCTACAAACTGCAGTTCTCATAAGTGCTTGTGATTAGCCTCAGAAGCCCACTTAAAAAAATCCCACTGGCTTCAAGGAATCACAACACTAAGCAACTACATTAGGCCCAATCTTGGTGAGTGAACCACACCAACATTTTTAAAAGGTACTTTCTATTGCCCCTAAGGGTGCCAGAGGCTTTAAAGATTAATCAAAGTTAGATATTATAATTAACACCTTTTTAACATGACGATTTTTGGCATAAGAGAATGCTGCTCTCATGGGAATCGCCTGTAGAAGTTACACCTTTTCACACATGAAATGAGGGTAGTTGAAGCACTGGGAGCTCATCTAACAACATCATTCTACATCATTTGTGAAGCAATCATAAGTAGTTAATTACATATCTTTGCAGTCTGATCCAGTGAACGAATAGCACTGAAAAATGCTCAGCAATGAAAAGGACAGACAGATCTTAGAAAGGAGTATCTTTCTTTTTGTTAGGATTACTTGAGGCACTTGAGAAAGAATGGGGGTTCTGATTCAGCACATGAAGGAGAGAAGACAGAACAAAAGCAGTATTGCTCTCACCTCTGCAACGATGCCCACACACCCAGCAATGACTGCAGCCTTGGCTTGAGCCCCACTCATCCCTCCGAGACCAGAAGTCACAAACACCTTCCCAGACAGATCTTCTGCCTTCAAGTAGCGGCGGCCGGCATTGAGCACTGTGAGCTGCACGCAGCAAATAGAGCCATCACCAGGAGATATTTTCCCTAGAGTCCCTAAAATTTAAAGATCTTCTGTCCCTTTTGCAAACAGAAAAGCTCTGTGGTACTGGCATCATGGAACAGTTTTAATCTTTTAAGAAGGAAACCTGTCACAAAGCGATGTTATGAAACCATCTGTCCTGATTATGTTTATTTCTCTCACCATGAAATAAAATAATCAGTGCTTCCCAATATGCTACTCTTGAGGTACAGAGACTTGTTAAGGATGGCTGCAAAGGATAGCTAAGGAAAACAGGCAAGAAAAGGTTTTTATAGAACACATTTGGTCAATTTGTACTTGACGTATTGTAGCTAAATATGAGCTCAGATTGAGACCTTGACTGCAAATCCCTTCAGGTCTGTGTTCTGGATAAGATGCATCTAAGTGGAAAACCACTAATTGTTTAAGGAGCAGGCAACGAGAATTTCTTTAGTAGCCAGAACATCCTCTCACAGCAACCCAATTCCCTCCAGCCACCAGACACTGTGGGAGAAAACCTCCTCCAAAAGGTACTGACACACAGATGTTTCCCAGTTTCTTACCACAGTCCCATGTACTATCCCCTGAGGCCCAATGTAGCAGTAGCTCCCTGCAGTCATCTGACCATACCTAGAGACAGCAATGAACACAGTGAGACCACACCTCACTCAGGCTGGAAGGAGTTCTCTACCTGTGTTTTCGGTATAACAGAAAAACCTCTGTGTTTTGATTTGTTGTTCAAGGTCTGCTATTATCAAATTGACATCTTAATGGAGTTTTATCATTAGCAATGCACCAAAACATTTCTAGAAGAGTGTTTAGCTCGTTAAATTGAGTTCAAAACTGCACTGATCAAAAACTGAGGGTAAATTTGTCTCGGAATTTAGCATAGTGAGTAGGACACAAGGACACTCCTTTTCACCTTGTTGGCACCTTTATGCCATTGGTTTTCAGACACATAGCTGTGTTTTAATTTGTTAGCCCAAAATGTTTGTTCACATTTCTATAAATTCCCAGAGAAGGGAGACAGCTGTTTTAGTTTATTCTCTCCATGGTACCCAAAAGAATAATAATCTTGTGCTCATCAACTAGATCGACAGTAGTTTGTAAAAATATTAAAAAGTATGTAAAAATAATTAAAAAAATAGATACTTTACTACTTCAAAATTTCTCTTAGCCTGAAAGAATGTTTCATAACTTACATTTTCCATAAGCTGCAAAGCAGCCTCTGCAAAGTGGAACTAGCCAGTGCTATAAGTGGTTTATGATTAAGGCTTCAGGCTGCTGTTCAGCCAAGCCTCTCACATAAACCTAATATTAATTCCTGGCAGACCTCAATTACATCCTTATATATGTGGCTGAACATAACTCAAACTCCAAAGCAATTCCACTTAAGTGTGCATTAATGCTTTGCAGCATCAGGAATTTATGCAGCACAGTTGAAATCCATCTGCATTAGAAATTTTAACCAGCCGCTGCTTGATGTCTGAATTACATTTTAGTCAAGTATTTGATATATTTTAATAGTGAGCTATCTTCTTACATTGTTACTCCCAAAGCAAACATCTTCTCATATTCATCTCTGGAGGAATAGTTGGGAATAACCTAAGAAAAAAAATCAAAATAGAATCCACATAAGCAAATTAGAGATTTAAGCAGGTATTTTTAACAGCCCACATTTCTCTAACTGTGGTCACACACATAGAGAAACAGTGAAAAACAGGAGAAGTAATTCAGGTGTTTTGTTTCATGCATTCTAGTATTAAAAAAAAAAAAAGATGTCCAGTCTTTCTGGCATTGTGATTTCCATGCAAAAAGTAGCCTGCAGGGAGATAGATATTGAATGGCTCAAAAGACTGGCAATAAACCAGTATTTTCACTTGTCCAGCTTCCCTTCCAAGCAAAGCAGTCCAGATATCTGAGCCACTGATTAGTAATCATCTTTTTGCTTACTGAGAGCTTTTAAATCTTCCAAACTGAGCCTAGATGAACTGTTTTGGTCAAGAACACGTACAGCTCAGGTTCAGTAAGAGCAGAGGTTGTCTAATAAGGAGAGGATTGTTTCCTCCATCACTGCAGATCAGCACATGTGAGATGAGTGCAACTGTACTGGAATAAAGGCTGCAGAATTTGGACCCCAAATTCTCTCACGCATTGTTGTAAATGTGGATAATATAAATAGTGTTTTAATTCAGCCAACACTTGAAAATTAAACAGAAGAAGAAGTGAAAGAAAACAAGATGCTAATACCTACCATGCCATTAGTAATGATTAAACGAGGAGCACGGGGATGGCTGGGGAAGAGTCCCAGAGGATGCCCACTGTACATTACTAGTGTTTGCTCTTCTGTCATCTCTGACAAGTAGTGCATTACCAACCAGAACTGAAAGGAAAAGCAAGGAAAAGAAGGAGTCTGCTTCCATCTTACATTTATGGGGTAAACTTTGAGAATGAAGGTAGTTTTAGAGATAACGAGGTGTACTCACATACGGAATAACAGCCAGAGTTCTCAACACATTCTTTCTTTTAATAAAGTCCTTTAAGGGGTATCACTCAGCAGGAAACATAAATCAGACTAGCAAGAGTCTGAATAAGTTCCAGAATAATTTCTCCAGTAGAAGCCCCAGAAATCCTTCACTTTTAAAGCCATTCTAATTTTATCTTGAGGTTAAACATTTGGATCTGGCACTTTCTGGCAATCTTTCTGAAGACACAGAATTGATTAAATACTCATGCTTATCGTTCATCCTAATCTGATTTTCAGCATCTAATGCTTGTTGTCTGTTCAATAAATGGCTATTAAAATGTGCACTTAAAAATGAAGTAGTTTTTCTTCTCAAATAAAAAAACTCAGCTTTCATTGTGGACACTGAAGAAACAGCTTGATACACCCAGGAGCTTACAAATAAATACATCTCAACTCTATCTGCATAATTCAAAAGTTACTCTTGATGAATGCCAAAAAGTACACTTTGATCACCTAAGCTGACTATAAATTTACCCCTCATCCATCACTGCCTGTGACAAAGCCCATTGTATTCCACAGGACTCTTAGTATGTGACAGCTCTGCCTGAGAGAAGCTTTCCCATGCAATATTGGAATTCAACAATTACTTGAAAACTGGTGTTTCTGTAGGGACACAGAAACAAGGTATCAGTGACAAATAAACAAACACAGTTGTCATGGGCACTTAAGCTCTGTAGTTGTGGCTTTGATCTGAATTTAAAATAGTACAGATTTGAGACCAGTCCCTTCTAATCCAGTCAGTTTCTCAAGCTGCAAGGTTAAGGGAACAAGAGAAAGTTAGTAGAGTTACTGTCTTGCTTTTTACATTTTGGTTTTGTTTCATGAAAAATACTGAACAAGCAAATTCTCTTTGTAGGACAGAACAGGTAACTGGTTGGACTCTCAACTCTTCAGCAATCTGGGAACAACATTCTGATAAAACTAGAAGGTGTGAGATAAATACATCTTCTTCCATTGAAAGCCATAACTAGTAACAAGGAAGCAAAAACCTGAGAGCCTTTCTCATCTTAAAGAGCAGGTCTGTTGTCTGCAGGCTTATAAAGTTAGCTCTGGACTATAATTCTCTCATTTGAAATTATCCAGAAGAAAAGCAAAAGTCTGCATGGATTATGTAAACCAAACTGAACCATTTTCCTAGGAATTTTGCAATGATAGATTTTACTTTTTTTTAAATATGCTGTTTTCAAGCTACAAACAGAATAAAATGTTCTGTGGCAACTGAATCATTCATGTGATTGCTACTCTAAGCAGGCAAAACAAAAAATGTTTTGTTTGTTCTGCTGTGAAACAACTGCAGGTCATAGGTCTGGCTTGGATGAGAACAAGAGAAAAAGAGAATATTTCTGACTTTGGCAGCACTTCTACCTCACCTTGCAGCTCAGCATCTGCCTAAGGAATGTCAGGCCAATAAGGGCCCCTATATAAACTGCTGGCACTGCTCACCTCAGAAATGCTGTAACACTCATGTAGTCAACAGGGAACAGTTAAATGGTGTTTACTAATTGATACACAGAATAAAGAAATGGTGTGGATTGCCATGGTAACTTTGTTTCAAAAAAAGTCAGAACAGTTTTGCCTCAAAATCTGCCTAAGTCTTCCATTTAACTTCCATTTACCAGATTGGGAAACTGAAGTGTGATTTTTCTTTTAACCACAAATGAAAAACCCCTAACTGGGAAGAAACCCTAGGTCACTCAGTCCCATGTTGTGGTGAGGAATTTGTTCCTCTCCCCTAACTAGGAACTCCACTTACACATCAGTTTTGCTGGGATTCATTAATAAGCAAGAGGTCAGATTCAGATAGAGCCACAACAAGGTGCATATGTGATCCTTCATGACAAAACCTGGCTCCTTAAGTCAGCTTTTGCTTATGTAAGCTACAGAATCAGAAATCAGGACCTTCCCAAACCTCAGGAGTGATGCTGCCCTCCACATTGTGATGTTGCTTTCTACAGGCCCATTCCAAAACTCAAAGGTGCTTTTCCACCTGCCCCACCTCTGTGGCCTTGGGGAACCTGGAGGTGCATTCCCAATAACCACATCTGTGCCTACCCACAGACACTCAGGATGGTGGTTCATTCAATGTTCCTCCTGCCACCACACACCTGTAGAGCATTCAGACCCAGAGCCTTTTTTTCCTTAACACAATGAATTTGGCCCTCAAAATCACAATTCTAAATATGCTGCTGATTCCAAAGATCTCCTGCAAATGTTTCCTGCATGCATTTTGTAGATTAAAATGAGTGTATTTATTGACCTTTTTTATATAGGAGAACAGAGATTATACAACCACAACTTAAAACATCCTAGCTTTCATTTTAGAGAGACTTTTACCCACCTGCCATTATTCTTAGAAAATCAGGGTTCATAGTAAAGTGCACCATGAACTGGCCAGCTAGCACAAATATTTACAGCTAATCTGATTTGCTAGGAAAAAAACCTAAAGACTGCACTTCCTTAAATCAAAGCCTTAGTTTTATTCCACTGCTTGTGAAAAATGTTGCAAAAGTAACACAAACATAAGATACACTTTTTAGTTTCTTAGACACTATCTGTGGAAAATACAGAGGTATAAAAAAAACACATATGCATCAGAGAAGGACAAGACTGGTCTTTATATCATCGTATACAGTTTGGTACGTTCATGGTATCATGTTTAGTGTTTCTGTTGGGCTGTCCGTGCTCTCCTCGCTAAATAAAGCTCTCCCCATCTCTGCAGTTCCCAACCGAGCATTCCTCTATCCAAACAGGATGTTTTGGAGTGTTTTGAGGCAACGACTGCCAAGAACTATCCTGAACTGCTTAAGCAGAATGCGCGTGGGGGAGGGTGAAACTGGTTTTGTTAAGCAAGCTGCAAAACCAGCACTGTCCTACCTGTGCCCAGTTGCTGAAGACCTGCCCATTTCCTCCATAAGTGACAAGCTCCTGAGGAAACTGAAAAAGACAATTTAACAATCATCATGCCAGCACTTTTCTGAAACCTCTCGCTGTATCTCCAAGCTACTTTTGTAATCTCAGTAATAAATCTTTTCTAGAGCTTATTGCATCAAAATCCTCTAGGTTCTTGAAATCAGGAAGTAACATCATAAAAGGGGAAAAAGTATTATTTTTCAAAATCAGCTGTACCACGAGCTGAGCTCTACTTGTGTTTCAGGCAGTGACCAAGCCCCTGTATATAGTGCCTGTATGTCTAAAATTTTCAGTATTTATGTGAGAGCACATACAGGAAGTATCTTGCAGATTTGCTGCTCCCTATGAATCCAGCTTCCTTTTGCTGCACCTTACCTGAGCCACTGAGGGATCCAGATTATTCATGATCATCAGCATAATGGCAGCAGCTGATTTGGTCTTGCAAGGGTATTCTCCTATGGGGTATGCTCTGAAAAGGTAGTCATAGAAATTTAGAAGAAACACTCCAGCTCTCAGTAAACACCACAGATATATCCCTACATGTCAGGGATATTCAAATTTGTTTAATTTGCAGGCTTTCATTCAGAAGGGAGAGGGGGGGAAAAAAGAACAAAACAAAATGCGGATCTGGAATTAAATATGTACCTTAACAGGCAAATCAGGATTTAACTATTATTAGAACTTAGCAAAACCAATAAATTTCAATCAGTTTATCACTTGCTGAATAGGTTAATCACAATTGATAAATATGGTGGTCAAGAACTCATGGTTTTTTAACTGGATTTTTTGGGGGTTGATGGAACTGGCCTCTAATACAGAGGCCAAGGCCAAGCAGCTAAGTCCTGCAATGCCAAGGGAAACAGCAGCAATGGAAATTGCCTTCAGGCTCGTCAATCCTTGTTATTTAAGACACTATCTAAGGCTTGAGTTTCAGGCTCAAAGAAACTCTCAAAAACTGAACTAGTTAAGAGAAATATGGGCCTTTTTACTAAGATACACTTCATCTAGAAAATTGAGAGGCGAGGCATAGGAAATACAAATATATACTAAGTCAGGTTTCCTGGCATTAATGTGCTTCAGCCATCTCATTGTTATTCTCCACCATCTGTTTGTCATATCAAATTGCCCTAAAACTTCTACTCTGGGATTTATACTGTAGCTGTTCAGGGCAGGGACTGTTCCTGTGCTGTGTTTGCACAGCTTTTAGTACAATTGTGCTGAGGTCTCTAAGGTGTGATACCTAAAGGAAGTATAACCACACATGAAGAGTTTTACTCCTTCCTTTTCTCTGAGCAACATCACCATTACAGATTCTGGAAATTCCTAGAGATGGATTAGGATCATTTGCCACGGATTCTAAATAATCTTCCTTTTATTGGACCACAGATCTTCGGTGGCTGGGTCCTTGCTTTGTACAGGGAAGAAAGTTACACTGAAAAGGTTCAACTAAGGAGTGCCAACTACAAACAAGAATTGGACATCCACTGTCCAGCTCATGAGCCAAGATCTGGAATGTATATTCTAGAGATTGAGCAAACGGGCTCTTCCCATGATCACATTCATTGTATCCTGGCTTTTTACATCAGGATACTAAAACAAATGCCTTGTACTCATTGCCAAACCAGAGAGAAAGCCTTTGAGTTTTTCTGCAATGCTTTTTTTATTAGTGATTTCTGCTTTTCTAAACTTGATGTGATAAAACAGGATTTCTGTGGAATGATACCAACTAATCAAAAGGAGATATTTACACATAGTATTGCTCAGAACATAAGAAACCCAACTTTCAGTTATTAGTTGAATGTGCTGGCATGTGAATATGGCTGTTAAATGCAGCTGTGCTCCCTGGACACACACAACAAAAATCAAATATTACCAGAGTGCAGGAGAACAAAAGGCATTTTCTTATTCTCAGACTGCAATAACCTATTAGGAAATGCTCAGTGAAATGGTCACAAAGAAAAAAATATTTGAAGCTATCAAAGAATCCCTGCTGCCATTATTGGAAACAAGCTGGTGGACAGCTGTCTTTTAGACAGTCTTCCAGTTGTCCTGCCCTTAGCTGAATTCTGCAGGATCTGATCCCCAGGCTAAAACTGACTGCACAGAAACATGGATGTGTGTCGAAATCAGAGTTGCTTTGTTCAGGTCTCTGTACAGACATTAACCAGGCCCCTGTTGATGCAAAAAGGAATCAAACAGTCTAAAAAAAGCAGCTATCCCCTGGCAGCCCTCACTAAAACTGTTCTGCTTCAAAAACATTAGCCCCAGCAGACCTAGAATGAAGTGATGGTCCAAGACCAACAGGCACAGCATATTACAAACCAGGGTCACATACAAGTTCCAGTGGAAAAAAAAGTGTACTCTCTTTCTTTTAAGCCCAGAAAGCCTTCTCTGCTCTGAAAGCACAGATAATCCAACCAACCACTCACAGCAGGTCTCCATTCACTCATCTGGATTTGCCTCCTGCTTCAGTTGAGGCTTGACTTGTAGCAGCTCAGGACAATTGCAGGTTTTCTATCAAGGTTGTAGTTGGAAGTCTCTGCCTCTAGAAACTAAGAACTTGCCATGGAGTAGAGTCTTTGAGGTCCCTGTGTGTGGTAAATCTGGTATTACCAAGGACACAACCTCGCTCAGTCCTTTCCCTGTGCTGAGTGGAGCTGAGCTTTCCAGCAGTGAGGCTGCCCTGGCCCTGCCACAGCCTATCCAGAAGGAGGCACACTGGTTCCCTACCAGTCCCATGGAGCATCTCAAAACATCTAGCAGCCTTTCCTTGGAAATTAAAACACTGCAAAACACAGAACAGCTGAATTATCAGATGATGAGCTTGATTACTATGTTATGGCATAAATTCTACACGAGATAAATTAGGACACAGCAATACCACTATTTAAAGGTCAGTTCCACAGGTGAAAGCTGGTAAACAATAGCAGCCAAATACAACGTGAACCATCCAGGCCTTACCTCATCTCAATATCTGGGAAGAATCTGTACATATAAATATGGCCATAGAGCCTGAGTTCTTCAGCAAATTCCGGTGCCAGCTTCTTTTGCACTTCAGGAGGGAAATAACGCAAGGCATTGCGCAAAGCCAGCTGCCAAAGGAAAGAGAAAAAGAGAGAAAAACTGAGGTAAAAGAGAAAGGGAGGTAAGTGGGTGGCCCTGAACTTTAATCAGGCTCAGCTGGAAGCCTGACTAAGGCATTACAAGGACAATGCAATTCAAAAGGCCAAGCTCACATCAGGGGAGCTGCATTCCCGATTTCCTATTGAAGTGTTTCTACCTGCATCTTTCCTTGTAGATTCCGTTGCTGTAAACATGTAATCATCCTCTTCCCACCTGTCCCCCCAAATCTGCATGGAGACACCATGGAGATTTGGGAAGTGCTCAATCCTATCCATATCAGATGCAAATTAATTCCTTCTCATAGTGCTAGAGGGCACTGAACTATCAAGGAAATCATTGTTCAGAAATCCTTAAAAGTGAGACTCTAAACTCCTTAGAGACACTGAAGACCCTACCATACTTTCCATTCAAAAGGGATCTTAGGCCAGATTTCTGTGACATGCTCCAAGATGAAGATGTTCTTGGGCTAAGTTTCATTGAAGATTCACTCCATTTAGCATCCTAATGTATTGCAGAGGGTGGTGGTTTATTTTATTGATGCTACATATATCACTTCCAAATTAGCTAGAGTGATTACTAGGCACTCAGTTAAATTCTGCGGATGATACTACGTGGCTTATACTCCTTATTGCCTCCAAAGACATTAGCCTTGGTTTGCAAAGTACAGTATGTCCCTTTGGATGAAAGAAACCATAAGTAAATCACTATCTTTAGCAACAGTCTGTTAAGTCATGTCTCTGTATTATGTGTTTCATTTGATTAAAACCATAACGAGAACAAAGGTTTTGTAATCTTTAAATAGCCAGTTTCACGCAAAGATCTTGTAAGTTCCCTGACAAATGCCAACACCATCCAAATGACTTTCAGTTGAAAAGATTCACAAATCATATGGAATTTCACATCTCCATTAGGCTGATTTTCTAATGACTGTGGAAAGGACAGAAAGGGATCAGGGTTCCTTCCAAATCTGCTAACAGCTCTGTTCTTGAGCAGGCTGAGTAGAGCACAGATAACCCATGTTTGTGACACCTGCAGTTTGCATTTAGTTATAGAAGCAAGGGTCTTCTGGAGGCAGTGAAGAGGTGGGCTATAGTACAGATATCTAGAACAAAGGCATTTAGAACTACCCAGGCCAGGTATCATCACCATCCACCCTGGTAAGGGGTTCTGAAAAGCTCTGTAAAGCCCTCAGCTCAGTAATGAAACTCCTCATTCAGCCTGACTGTGCTCTGGCTCTTGCAGTTAAAGCTCTCCCTCCCCTTCATTTGAGCACACTGGGCTCACATACCTTAGAGCACCCTGAAAAAACAGTATCTCTAAATCTAAAATGCTTCATACTAAAAGGGGTTTTCATTGGCACACTTGCTACTGAGCAGGCATTCACCTTCACAGATCAGCTGATTTACACCAGCTAAGGATCAGACCAGTAAAACCCTACAAATTAGATTTGCAAATCCACACAGAGAATCATGGGATGAAAACCTATTTAGCAGATGAGAAAATGCAAATTTCATTTTCTAATGCCACTTTATTCTTCTCCAGTCAGGTTTTTCAAGGGCATGTTATTAACAAGCACAAAAATCCGAGCTACATCCACACCACGACAAAGTGTATGGGGATTTCCAAGGTCAGTCTCAGAGGTGAGCAGCCACCACAGGGGATTCTGGATCTGAAGTATTTCTAAAGTACAAATAAAATCACCTGCACCCCTTGGTTTTCCAAAAAGCAAACATTGGTATTTTGGCTCCCTTGAGAACTACAGAGAACTATAAGGATGTGTTTTTTGCTTTCAGTGTGGTAAGGATCACCCACAATCTTGGTCAATACATTATTCATATTAAAATTAAACTGATGGACAAGTATTTTTTTCACCCTAAAAATACAAGCAAGAAAAATTTGATATGATTTTCAAATAAATTCACTTGGACGGAGCCTCCATCCTATTAGTGTTACACATTAGCAGAAGCCTGAATTTTGATGATGCAAACATTAATGAAACATGAACTTGAATGTTACATGAAGGGTGGGGAGGGCACCTCTCACAGACAATAGACATCTTGTAAAAGAGGACTAAGACTATGGCTTGTTTAGCTTAACTGAATGAAGGTGACATTTGATTGCTGTCTTACTGCAGGATAAATGTCAAAGCAGGAAGGAGCTTCAGGAAAGTGCTGGAAGAAGAAGAAATGGCTTTGAATTACCTGTAAAAAATGTAGTCTTAGAGGAATTTAAGTATAAGAGATTCTGTAACAGCCTCTTGACAAAAGAGCTGGGGCACTCAAAAAGATGAAGCCTGACTGCTTTATGAAAGGGCAATTGCTATGTGCATGGGGAAGAATTTTACATATTCATTATTGAGTCAAACTGAATAACCTGAGAAAGGCACTCAAGGAGCAAATTCAAATAGGCTGATCATTATGCTTTTCTGGAAAGACAATACGTTTCATTAAAGCACCATAAAAAACATTATTTTACTGTTTAAGTAGGATTGATTTACCTATAACTGACATATTGCACTCTGAGTATTATCATGCATTTTATATTTAGGTGTTCTTCCTGTTCATAGCTTTCTCTGACAGAAGCTTAAGCTGCACGTGCTCAGTACCTCTAAGAAACAGGGTCCAGAGTTCATTGGTGTCTTAAAAAATATTAATTGCAGTTATACTCCTGAGCCTGATAGGCAGTTTTGGTTTTTTTAAAAAAAAAATCACACAACCTGCTCTGAATTTGCCCAGTTACTGATTTAGTTCAGCTCAGTGCAATGTAAGCACCAGATGCAAAGTCTTCCTCTTAGATCTGCCAGCTGGAGCTAACATTTGGTTCTTGCATTTAAGCTCTAGTCACTATTAGGATGTCTTTTTTCTATTCTCTGGCATTTATATAATAAAACATGATTTTGCTGTTATTTAATCAATATTTAGACCTCTCAATGTCAACAAAATATAGTCAAAACAACCCATGAAATCCTGCTCCAATCCATCAGCTGTAAATATCTCTGTTGGGATGATTCTCTTGAGAAATCAAGTAAACCAGGCTCTTTGTTAATTGGTGTTTGTTGAAGAGCCAGTGCCTCTTCAGAAGGAAGGTCATTCATTTCCATTTTCCAAGAAGATAATCAGAACTTGCAATTTAAGACTCTTGAGATACTCAGACATTACAGTTTGCAGTCTCCCTGCTTACTGAGGGAAAGAGAAGCACGAGGAGAGGAAGTGATGAGCTTTACTCTACAACAATTTCCTTTTTAGCCCCTTTTTCAGTGGAGATGATGTTCCCTCCCACCTCTCATCGTCTGCCTGATGACACCCAGGCCCAGAACCTTAGGTGGCACTATCCTCTAAACAGCAAGCAAGATTGTTTCACTTACTTCCTGGTAGGTCCCAGTTTCAATCAGCTCAGCTGGAAAATAAACATGGATATTTCTGACTGGCCATTGCTGTAAATGCCCTACATGCTGTGAAAGTTTAACCAAGTTCTTTATCATCATGATGTTCCAAAACAGGAACTAGTATGTTGACCTTCCCAAATCCCATATGAACTTTTTAACCTGGCCTCATTTCTGGATGTGTAAAGGAATCATAGAGGTCAAACATCCTGTTTCTTCATCAGAAAGTTGAAGAACAGCTTCAGGTGCTGAGTGACCTTCCAGGCTCTGGCTTTCAGTTCATCATATTAGGATGCTACCAAGCAGCAAAGCTGCCCCCTAAGGGATAAGGAACCAAGAAGAACCAACACAGCCAGCAGAACAGGCACCTCCCCCACCAGGGTCCAGCCTCATACTACCTGAGGGAGGTGAGCAGGGCAGCCCAGGGATGGCAGTCAGGTTCCACCAGGAGTCCAGGTCATCAGGCAAGAAGAGGGTGATGTGCAGCTCCAAGGCGGAGTGCAAGTCAGGACCAGGTCTGGCGATGGTTACCAGAGAGAGATGTGACCCAGAGATCACCAAAGAGGTCCATAGTGGTGTCAGCCCACAGGTTGGAGACTAGAGCAGTGAGGTCACTGGCTGGGCACAGGGACACCCTGTGACAGAGCCAAAGCCATCTCCAGCATAGCTGAGACTAAGCTCTCAGGCCTGAGCTTAAATGGAGCCCCTAAGCCTATGAGAGGAGGGCGTGGGTGGAGATCTCAGGAGAGGCTCATCAAGGTCATCAAGGCCCATGAGTGTTCCATCACAGAAACACAAGTGATGCTGCAATCAGGGGACAGATGATCCTACTGGGTAGCTGAGGACTGTAAGGTGACTTAGCTCGAAGATCCATAAGGGAATTGCTGTGGAGATAAAGGCAGACCATTTTTCTAATATTGAGCAAAACTGCTAAGTGCACTTTCTTCCAAGTTGCTCCAGCTTTATTGGAATGTCAGTGAGTATGGAACATTCAACATCCTTGCTCTGCAAAGGACACACCACACATAGGTTTTAAGAGTAGTTTCTTTGTAGCATATTTGCATTAAGGTACAGATGCTGAGAAACAGAAAGCTAGAGTTTCCTGAGCTGTGGAGGGAGGGAAAGAGAGAGGATGTGGCTGTTTCAGGCCTCAGGCAAAGAATGCTGAAGGAAGAGAACTCAGGAAACATATAATCAGAATCAGTTCTGAGATATGGCTTGATTTATCCAAGAAGATTAAAGTTGGTATGATAGGAAGAATTAGATACTTCTTCAGCAAGTCCCAAAACACACAGTTCTTTATAAGTCTCACTTACAGGATTTCTATTATAACCACAAGAGGAGGCCCAAGAAAATAAAACATTGGCAGTGGTAAGGTTTATTATTGTAACAAGGACTAAAACTGGAATGAAGGCATATGAAGAGAGGGACAAATCCCAAGGAAATCAGCAAAGCATTATTAACTTCATTTCTGTCAAAGCTTCCTCTGAATATTTCAATTAGAGAATGAACACAGTGTCGTACATAAAGACAAATCTTGTAATATGCTCAGCACTACACTGTCAACAAAATCTGGAAGTCGGTACCAAGACTTAAAAAACCCTCGTAGACAGACAACCTTTCTGTTTGCCTGCTTTTGTAAGCATGGAACACCTCCTAAAAAAAAGAAGTTTGACTTTTCAGGTATGAAAAAAACACAGCTGAGCCTTTAGCTCTGCTGAGAGTTTAAGGTGGAGGATTACTATCAAATAAATCAGAAAAGAAGCTTTAAAACCTTTAACAGTCTAATAAAAATCCAACTCACATGACCTCTTATCACATGTAGGAGGCAAGATGGAGCAATGAGAGAAGGATGTTACACAGTAGACTGGAGGCAAGAACTCAGTCTACTGTTGTCTTTCTCTGAATTTAAATGAGGTAGGAAGGTATTCCAGTCATATAAGAAGCGAGAACTTTCTCTCCCTGGATAAAGAGTGAGGTTTGGCATCCTTCTGAGATACCTTCTCCTCTCCTACAACATGAACTTCTTCCTGCTATAGCAGACTTCTGGGGAAAGGTGATTTAGCAAGGAATAAAATGGAGATGATTGGCAACATTCTGACATGCAGTGAAGACCACTCCCCACTCCTTTATCTTCATAGCCATCATGACAGCCCTCTTTGAACACTTCCATGTGTCTGAGCTGTCCCAGGCACAGACAGGATGCCTCGGCCATGAATGCTTCTGACATTGAAGTAAACCTTTGTTGGATATCTCACAGCTGTTCCTCTTTCTACCCTCTGACTAGACTCTCCTCTGCTTGGGGAAGTGGACTTAGAAAGAATTTGATTGCTGATGCCAGTGGGGAACTCCCACGAAGGCAAGGAAGTTGTATGCAACTTGTTAGTCAGGAAGGAGCTTCTGTGTTCTGACCAGAATGTCACAGTGTAAGTGATGTTACATGTGATTGAGCACAGACTTTGAAACTAAGGAACCCACCTTATTCTCTCCCACACAAATTCCTAAGGATCTTCCCCCACTGACTATTATTTTCTGCTCATGATTTTTTTAAATCTCAACTATGACATAATGCAGTGGTTACTTTACTGTGTACATAGACTAGTCAAACAAAAAGAGACAGGAAAATAATTATGCAACTAAAGACAAATAATTAACTTAACTCCTTGCAAACTTGCCTAAATTGCAGGATGCCCAGGCTACTGGTTAAAATAAATCATCCTCAGATATTTTATGCAAATATAAAGGTGTGCAGCTGCTACTATGATGCTGATTGATCACCTGTGATGTTTATTGTATTGGAGGGGTTAGCTCTCATTCCCATACATATGCAGGGCTTTTGCAGCAGCATTCAGAATTTCATCTTCAAGGGACAAGGCTGGATTGACAGCATTGAAGTCTAATGCCCCTTGTTTAACCATTTAAAGTCATGGAAGCTGTTGTGCAGCAAAATCTCTTCGATATCAACCTGCTTATTCTGGAGGAGGAAGAAAGGAAGCAAGCAGAAGAGCAATCCGGTACTTTGTCTCATTACACAGTGAATTACATAACACCGAGGAAATCCATTTGCCACAAAGTTATGTGCACACTCAGAAAAGCTTTTGAGACAAACAGGTCTGCTGCCCCAACCTGCATTTATCTGAAAGACAGAGAAGTGAGGCCCTGTGAAACCCCAAGTTACCTTCTTCTCCTGAGCAGTGAGATTGGGGGTTCTCACGGGTGCATGGGGTATTCCTTTTCTCCGACCTTTGTTTTCAGGCAAAGGGTTTAGAGGAAGGCCACGACAGATTTCCTTCAAGCTGGTCATTGCTGAGGAAATACGAGGAGGAAAGGCAAGGCAAACTGGAGAGATGCAAGGAGCAGGAGGTACAAGGAAGGTGCAGGCAAGCAGGATGCTCAGTGATTCAAATGCACCACCACCCGGGGCAATTCCGAAGAGGACAGCCTGTCCTCTGGCTTTTGCAAACAGGGCTGTCAAGCATAGAGGGCAGGTGGTACAGATGACACACCTCCCCCCCTCTCTGCCATGCCATTGGCTCTTCCCCCCTCACCCAAAATGAATGATTCACAGTTTCACCGTTTATTCTCTGGGTGCTTTGTCAATTGTCACTAGAGCAAACCCAGTCACTTTCCAAAACACCTGACTCCCTCAATGTCCTAGTGAGAGTCACGGACTGGAGCATGAACCTTGCCTGAGACCTCAAGGATCCTATATTTACATTACTATAGTTTAGGATCTAACTAAAGTTAATAATTATTCTTCACACCACTGTTCATACACATTGTCCAGCTAAGATGGGCATTCTCTGTTTGACACCTCTAATATGGGCTGTTCCTCAGATCTTATCAATTTGTCTTCTATACAATAGCAGTAGTCAATGATAACAGCAAAATTTTCCCCTTAGGTGTTAACTCTTCTTAGCTCACAGGCATGAATGGATTTTCACGGCATTAAACTGGAAAGGTGCTCATTAGCACTGGTAGTGGATTCCTCAAGACAGTCAATAATTGGAAGAATGAAGGCTTTCAGTTCTATGTCAGTTTTATACCCTACAATCAACAACAAGAAAGTCTTACAGTACTGCCATCCAGGCATCACAGGTAAATGAATGTACTCAACTTTGATTTTCCATTTACCAGTGCAACATGAACTTTGCTCTCTATTTTAGGTTGTTGTTTAAATTACACAGCAGCTTCTTGACCTTTATTATATGTATTACACTACAAGTGCCACAGTTTAAGCCTGGTGAAATTAACTAGGAGAAGCAGTTCAGTTAGGAACGAGCCTAAAATGTGCAAATAAAAAAATACAGCATTTCCCCAGAAAGGCAGCAATCAACAAGCAATGACAACAAAGCACAACTATTAAATGACAGCCTCTCATTAATGTAAGATCTGCTTTAGCTCTAGGACATCCCCAGCTCCCACTGAAGATGCTCAAGTTGAAAGAACTCAGAACATCCCAGGGGAGATGAGCACATAGCAGACTCATACCCTCTGAAGGATACTGTCATTTATGGCAGGAGAATTTTGTTTTGTAATTAAACAGTATTTTAGCTGCTTTCAAACAAAAGGCAAAGACAAAAAGGAGAGGGAAAAGCCTTCATATTTCAAAGATTTCTGTTGGGTTTTCATATTAAAAACATACCAAAAAAAAGAAAGAGAGATAAGAGTAAAGTAAAAAATTCTACACCAAAACCTAGCTAAATAACCCTGCCTTACATAAACATTCCCACCCCAAAGGGAAATAAATCTTTCCTTATTCTTCTTTGTATGACCTACATTCTTCAAATCCCTCTAAGGTCTGATCCTGCACACACATGAGCACAAGAATAACCCTGTTTGCATTGGACTCCCCTCGGACCTGCTTCCTCTGTGACACGGAGCAGAAGGTATTGGCATTATATTGATGAGAAACCTGAGGAAAGAGAGAATGAAGAAGTGGGAACACACACCCTGAATTAATTTTGATTTCCTAGGACTGAACACTTTCACCCCCTGATTGCTACATGCTGGAGTCTCTCTGGTTCCCCGGGAGCTTTGTGCTGGAGTCACCAAATCCGACTTCAGGGATTCTGCCAGTGCAGACATCCCAGCTCCTCCAGGCAGTCACAAGTCCCCTCTCTGCCTGGCTTGTCCCAACTACTGCCGTGTCCGGGGTGCGAGGGCCGTGTCCCCAGGGCTCGGGGCAGGTGTCATGTGCCGGGCGGGCTGGCAGAGGGTGCTGCAGGGACAGACGGACGCGGACGCGCACAGAAACACACGGACACACACGGGCTGCTGGAGGGGAGGATGCGGCTACAAAAACAACGCCCGCGACTGAGCCCAACCAGCACCAGCCCGGCCCAAGAGGAGGTGCGGAACGGACCTTAAAAAAAACCCAAAAAACAAACAAACAAAAAAAGGCACACATAAAGCCCAGGAAGAAGATCACATGTTTTAATAATCCCCTTTGCAGGCAGACAGGACTAGAGAACTGCTCGGTTAGGACCGAGAGATGTCCTAAAGGCTGAAGGGAGGCAGAGACAAAACTTGCAGATAACTAACCCGCCCTGGGGAGGGCAGGAACCCCCACCCCCGCCCTAAGCCTTGCTGTAGCAGCAGGAAGGAAGGATTCTCCAGCCCCCTCTCCCTTTCCCCCTCTCGTCTGGGCGCTGGGCATTGCACCTTCATCCCGGGAGAGCAGCCCCTGCCCACGCCTGCCCGCTGCCCCTCCCCGGGACCCGCAGCCCCCGCGTCGCGGTCGGGAGCCGGTCCAGCAGCAGGCACGGCCGGGGATTGCCCGGGAACCGGCCCCGGAGAGCTGGCGTTGGGTTTGTTTTCCACTCCCCTGGCGCTCGCTGTGTGAAGCAAATCCCTTGGAGGTGGGGGAGAAGCGGCTTCCGTGACAGCGGAGGGAGGAGGGAAATAAAATAAAATAAAACAAACCAAAAATAAAAAGGGAGAAGAGCCAGGAAAGCACTTGCTTCTCATCATCTCTCAGGGAGCAAAGCCAGCTCTGCTCTTCTTATGACCCTCTGCTGCAGGGAGCAAAGGGAGAGAAGGTACTGGGGGGCATCTCCTAACAAAGCAGGGTTCAGGCTGCCGGGACCCCCTCGCTACCCGGGGTGGCAGCAGCCTGCGGGAGGTGCGAGGAGGTCGGGAAGGTTGCCAGGGCGAACCCAGGCAAAGCCAAACCGAAGCTCCACCAAAATCAAGGAGCAGGAATGAAAGTTTCGAAATAGCATCCAAAGAAGCGCCAAGGACCGGACCGAGCAGAGCTCTCCGCATCGCATCAGCCCTCGATGGTGCATCCGAGGCGCTGCGTCAGGGATGTGAACGTCCCCTGCCCGCTGCACGGAGAGGGGTAAAGACACAGGAGAGCTTTGTTATTTATTTATTTATTGGAAGCAATGTATGTGTGACACCCAGAAGGCATCTGAGCCCTGAAAAAAAACAAAACCACCTCTGGACCCAAAGGAGAACAAGAAGAATGAGACAGCAGCCTTGACCCCTACACTGAGAGGAAGGTGAGCAGAAAGAAAGAAAGAAAGAAAGAAAGAAAATACAGGAAAGCCATGCAAGCACCAAACCTGTAGATTACTGCAGGTCTTTTTTTGCTTCACTGAGGACAAATATTTTATGACAACCATGCAGCATAAAGGCATCATGCTGATTGTGTTCTTGGAATATTTTATTTCTGGCCATGGGGAAGCAGGTAAGCAAAATAAATCAATATTGCCATTCTGAAACAATTTATCCTAAATTTAATAAGGGGAAATGGGATAGAAATCAGCTGTTTGTTTAAAAAAAAAAAAAAAGTAACCTTTACATCTTTATTTTAGACTGGATTTTTACAAGGAAATTATGTTAGTCAATATATACAAAAGCTTCTTATTCTGTGCATTAAACAGCTTTATAGTTCAGTCTCCTTACAAAAACTTATAGGATGTACAGGTTCATACACCCTTCAAAGAAAAAAGTGTGTTAGTTTTGCAAACAAAAGAAAAGTAAGAGAGAAAGAAAGAGGTAGGTAGATTGAGATATGCTGGATGCTTGTTTTGAGGATGAAACACTGCCTTTCTAGGCAGGACAAGAGTGAAATGACATCTTTGGATAGTATCACTGTAGGAATCTGAATTATTCTCTTATATTACTTAATATTGCATCACTAAAAATCAGAGACACTGTTTAGGAATTCTTATTTATCCAAGACAGTCCATTCATTCATTGTATTCCCTGACTTAATAGTTAACACACAGTGGATGGAATTAAATTAGCATTAGAGAAAATGGATCAGGACAGAAAGAGAAGTTGGTTAGTTGTGTTTGTATGTGTGGCTGTACAAATACACATATGATACAGGAATGATACAGCTGTGTATTTATATAGGGACCTAAAAATACCTGGATTATGATGGAGACAAATTTTTAAAGGAAAGGAAGCATTAGGGTTTTTTTCCTTCTGTTGTGGTTTAATACATTTTTAAATTTAAAAGGGAGAAGTTACAAAGATCATGTCAGAAAAATAAAAATAATTATTGATTAAAAAAACCCCATCCTTGGTGACTTTTCCTTTGAGACGCTGTCTTGGGATCTCTCTTCCTGTACAGGAAAGCGTATCAGTGATTTAAATTTCACCTGTAGGCTCAAAGTATTAGGACAGGAACAACATTCTTCCTGCAGTGATTTGAAAGCAACTAAAGTGCTCAGCTATCCTGCGTGCTCCAGAAAAGGCAGAGACTGATCAAGTATATTCAGCTCAGATTATTCCCTTGCTAGAGCCCTTCTGATAACAGACAGACTTCCACAATGGCAAGAGATATTTTCTGAAAAACTGAAAACAGATCATGAATTTACACTCCTGTCATATTCGTCAGCATCCCACTTGAGAAAAAGGCTGTCTGTCACAGCATGACAGAGAATGAGGGGAGGAGTGCCTTAGTCAAATGTCTTATTTTGGGCATTCCCTGGTTTCCCAGGCTAGGTTATAAGCTCCCTACAAGATGCATATGTTAACACACAGCACAGAAAGGTTACAGAAATGTCTTGTAAAGTTGCTGACACTGTTGCAGAAGGCAGCCTGTTACAAACTAGACTAAATTTGCTCAGCATCCAATTCACTACTTGAAAATAAATCTTCAAGGAAATGCAAGTCCCAGCTGGATTCTTGGAAAGTGAATTTGAAGGGAGGGGGTGTGTTCTGTACAGAGCTAAACTGATTCAGAATAATAGTGTAGGACATGGTGAATAGCAGCAAAACAACTGGATATTGAAAGTGATGCTACTGAGGACTCAATGTCCCTTTAAATAAATATTTGGTGCTTGATCAAAAGGTTGCATATCAGCCTGTGAAAGCACAGGGGTTATGTGTTCATTTTTTATTCCTTTTTTAGAGCTGAGTAGTGTACAGAGAATTACCTTTTTGGCATACTTCCTTAGCCTATACAGTAAACTCCCTTTTCAGCTCTATAGCTGA